GGGAGAAGCACATCGAAAGAAGTCCAACCTCGGGGGAGTTCATCGTCAGAAACGTTAGCTTGACACACCTGTTGAAGGTCAAAGAAGATCAACACCTTGGAGTTGTGGAAGCCATTAGGGAAGAACTGTCGAATGTTCCAGTGGATCCCACAAACGGTTTCATACAGGGACAAGTTCTACGACTTCTACAAGAACATCGTGAAGATTTGGAAGAAGAACTGGAAGCTGTAACAACTGCAAGGATGGAAGAGGAAAGGCGAGTGTGCCAACTAAGGGTCTGTTCAGCACAAGCTGATGGTAGCGGTGGAGAAGAACAACTTCAAACTGTTACAGTCCCTCTCCACAAGGTGAGAATGGAAAAGGAAAAATGGTACGACTCGATGCTCGCCGAGTACAAATCCTTGACTGCAGAAACAAAAGCTATCCGACCAGTCAAAAGGTCCGAGATTGACCCTGAAGCCGAATTGGTGCCGGGGAAATTGGTCTGTGTGATCAAGGCTGGAGGGAGATACAAATGTCGCGCTGTGATCTGCGGCAACTTGGCATCACCGGAAGCGGATCCCATGCCTTCCTCTCTGCTGTATGCCAGTGGAGCGGACGGGGTTCTGATAAGGTGTGCATTGCGAAAGGCAGCTCATCACCAATGGGATGTAGCCACGACGGACATCAAGACCGCTTTTCTACTGGCTCCTCGGCCGGTGGAACAAGGTGCCAAAACCGTGGCGGTGGTGCCGCCCAGGATCATGACTGATTTTGGGATTACCCAACCGGATGAGGTCTGGCTTGTCGACAAGGCCCTGTATGGGTTTCAATCCAGCCCTGCCCATTGGGCAGTGTACCGCGACCAAACAATGCGGCGGTTCACATGGCAGGGAGATGCAAGCCCGGGGGAGATGCAGAAGGAGTACAAGCTGGAACAAACGCCGGAAGGAAATTTGTGGAGAATCCTGTGTAAAGGTGGTGACGCTCCGGGAGAAGAAGTACGTCCTGATGGATATCGGCAAGTGGGTTTGGTGGTCGTCTATGTGGACGATCTTATGGTTCTTGCGGAACCTCACGCCAAACACAGCTTCTTGAAGAGGCTGAAGGAAGAATGGACTTGCTCCACTCCTGAAGAAGTTGATCACAAAGGCTGGGTTCGATTTTGTGGGTTCGAGCTCCAATGGAGCGGTCAAGGGGATCACAAGAAGTTGAAGGTGGGACAGCAGTCCTACACTCGGGATCTGTTGAATCGACATCAAGTAGAACACCCAAGACCGGTTCCGATGACGAAAGCGGATGCCGAACTTCCGGAAGAAGAACAACCAGCACTTGAAAACATCCGACAAGCTCAAACGGTGGTGGGCGAGTTGTTGTGGTTGTCCATAAGGACAAGGCCGGATATCAGTTTCGCCGTCAGCCAATTGGGAAGACAGGTGAACAAACGGCCCAAATGGGTGGTGAAAACCGCACAACAGGTGTTTGGTTACCTGAAGGGAACCGAAACTCAACATCTCAGCTATGGGGTTTGCACAAGTGATGATCGTGGTCCCGAAGATGACCTGCCATTTCACCGGGAGATGCAGCAAGTCGAAATGTTCTCGGACATTTCATTTGCCCCTGCGGGCGAAAGATCACTGCAGGGTATCCTAGGTTTTTATGGTGGAGGGTTGGTTCAATGGGAAGCCAGCCGTCAAGCTTTTGTGGTGTTGAGCACCGCCGAAGGGGAACTGATGTCCTACTTGGAATCCATGGTCATGGGAGACTCTCTGGCGTCTCTCATAGAGGTCGTGGAAGGACGGAAAATCGGGCAGAAGATCATCTACGGAGACAACACGGCTGCAATAGCCATCTTGGAAAATCCTGACGGTCCGTGGAGGACTCGGCACTTGCGGTTGCGAGCAACAGCCCTAAGGGAAAGGTTAAAGGATGGTAGTTGGATCATCCGTCACCTTCCAGGGGTAAAACTTGTGGCCGATTTCCTGACGAAGATCATCGCTGTGAAGCCCAGTTGGGAAAGGTTCTGGAGGTTCGTCAATCACCAAGGTTCCGGGGTTCCAAATGAGGAAACATCAATGGGGTCCAACCATCGTGAAGAACAACCTCTGGGAGAAGAACAACGTCCAGAAGAACCAGACCAGGAGACTTCCTCCTGGGACAACTACCGAGATATCGCTGGTCGGTGCGTATCAGTGGTGAAAAAGGTGGTTGGTCTGGCCGAGGAATATCCAGAACTAGCCGATTTCCGGCATGAAGCCTTGAGCACTGCCATTGGAAGGCTGGTGCGAGTACTGGCTGATGCGTATCGCGTCACTGAATCCGTGGTCAAGGATCGGTTCCAGTTGGAGTCGGTCTTACCGTTTTTGGAGAAGGAGAACATTCCTGGACAAGTTGAACACCCTGTAGAAGAAGAACCTAGGGGTATCCTAAAACGGGGTAATAAGACCAAAAGGGGTAACTCAAAACCCAAAAGGGTTTATTTTTGGGATGAAAATCCACCAGTTTTGAAAGTTTTGCGGGTACAAGATCATCACGGTCATGTTGCCCAATTGCACAGTTATGAAAAAGAAGAACCCATCCCTAAGACCATCCTGGGTGATGGACAAGAGAAACCTTGGGACTTGGATTGTGCCAGGTCCGATCGAGAAGAACATCGAGCTGCTGAAGTTGTACCAAGGTCGGGTTCCACAGAACCGTGGGATCTGGTTGCAACTTGGGGAATTGGGTTTTTGGGGAATTCTAATGTGGTAGGTAAGGGGAAAAACCATCCTGAAACCTCAAAGGGGATAGCTCCGCAACCAACGGGATTTAAGTGTTTTTCCGTTAGGGAATTGGGGTTGTCCGCAGCAATTTATTTTTCCAAAAGTTTTGGGCTCAAAAGCGTCCGCGTCTGCCTTGCTGTACCAGTGACAGCTATGGACGGTGAAGATGTTTCGCAAGGCGTCTTTGGTCAGTTTTTTGGCATACTTTATGCCATGATGGTCATCCTGGTGTGGGAAGTTTTCCAATGGCTTATGAGCCATTTGACATTCCTGGTGGTTCCTCAGTTCAATCGACAAATGGTGGAACAAGCTGAACTGATGGTGAAGTTGGCCCTGAAAGATCGAGAAAAAGATGTACGTGGGGGAGAAGGTCATTCCACGGCGGCGCCAACTGTAGAAAAAGATGAACATCAGGAAGAAGAACCACGTCCGGGAGAAGATCATCGAAAGGAAAAAAGAAGAAAAACCGAAGAGAGGGATGCTGATCGCGCCCATGATAAAAGGGAAAGAGGAAGAGACCGTCGGAGACGGGGTGAAACAGGGCGATCTAGGTCGCCACACAGGGAAAAGGAATCGACAACAAGGCGATCGGAGAGTGAAAAAAGCCCTGGCCCTTCTACAGCCGAATCGCGAGGTTCGGAAAGGGTCCCAAAGGGACCGATAGCTCCGCTGCCAGAGGGTATGAAAGCCCCTGGGAGACCGCCACCGAAAAAACCGTCGATGCCAACTCCCAAGGAAGAGGAAAAAGTACCCACCGATGATGAAGAGTGGGGAAAATGGAAGGAACAGAGAGAAGGAGAAAAAATGGCTGATTACCTTGCAAGGATGAGATCAGTCTATGGAAAGGCAATACCTGCAGAGCCAAGGGAAAAACCTGCAGAAACGACCCGAGCCTCCTCCTCTAAGGCAGCTCCTAAGGCAGCGGCTTACTATGAAGTGGATGGAGGAGAATGGTATTGGTGGGATGGTGCATGGGGTGACAAATGGGAACCGAAAAAGAAAAAGAAGAAGAAGAACAAATACACCGAGGCTGAATGGGAACAGTGGTACAAGGAGCATCCGGAGGAGGACACTGAGTCTTCCCAGACACCAAGAAGGCCAGCAGAACCGGAGACTCCGCCACCGGCCCAAAGACCAAGGATTCGTCCGGGACAAGATTTAATTCGACGTCCTGAAGACCCAGCCAGCTGGACAGTTTACATGCCTGAGGTGGTCATGCGTGAGGTGGAATATATCATCTCTGGAGAGGGCACAGCATGGATGACAAAGCCGCCGGCCGTAACAGGCTTTGAAGAACAGGGTCAGGCCATTGACATGTGGCATGTTCCAGCCCCTGGGGACTATGGACGAATCATCACAAGAATCCATTACAAATGGAGACAGAATTCATTTCATCCAGATCACCCCACTTTACCGAAAAAGGTCGACCAGTTGGATCCTTACCGGGTCACATTTTTGTGGAATACCCTGGACAGCAACGAGCGAAAAATAATCTTGGATTTTGACTGGGAGACCAAGTGGGTCGAAGACAAGTGGGTGGGATACACCGTTTTCCTTGTCAAACAAGACGCAAGAGATGTGGCGAAAAGCTCACCCAAAAGGAAATAGGTCACACGGAAAAGTACATCGGTGGCTGGAGAAAAAGATCAACAAGACCCAAGGAAAAGATCATTAGCTGCCGGCGGAAAAGACCAATACAGGGAAAAGCTCATCAGCTGCTGGACCCAAAGAACACCGTTGGGCGCTCTTCGAGGACAGCGCTGGTGAGAGAGGGAATTCAAAACCTACGAAGTTAGGGCTGTAGTTTTTCAATTTTTGGAGTCAACCCGAAGTGGAACTCCACGCGACCCTTGGATGAAGGGGGAACCAACACCAGCCTGGGACTATGGCACACGAGGGTCTTCGCCCTTCTGGCTGGGGGAAGGGCGAGTTCCCAGAGGAAACGTGGCCACCCCTGAAGCTTTTGTTTTTGGTGTTGGGGAACCTGGATTCCTGCAAGCAGGAAGGGGGAGTGCGGTTTGGGAAACATGCACAGAGTACCACTGCACCCCCACTAAGGTCTTTTTTAAAGTTTTCACAGTCGTTGAGACGTCCTCCGACTGTTGCAACTTTGGCTCAAGGGCCAATCAACTGACTGGCTCAATTTACCGAGCCCAACTTGGAGTGAAAAAGTGCACTTGCATCTGCCTCTTGGTGGGGACCTCCGGGAAGGGTCTCGGTCATAGTCTGAAACCCGTGATCCGAAATCCAGCTGTGCAGGAGTCTCAGCTAGAGGAAGTGACTCCGGTCGCGGAAGCCTTATCGGATCTGTCCGAAAGCAGCGAGGTCAGCTGGTGTTTTCGGTGGTTGCTGGTGGTTTGAATCGCTTCTTTGAAGCAAAATCAACAAGAGTTTGGATGATGGACCCCCAATGATAGAATAAAAACAGTAATGTTTTTTGTCCTGGGGGTAACCGGGTTTATAAAGATTATATAGCCCACAGACCAGTATAGTTACTGGTAACTGGTACTAGAAATTAAGGAGAGTATCGGATTAATAATGCCGGTGATTGCTGGTCAACAACGAGCTTTTGACCCAAACATCTCTCAATTTCTGATTTCGGAATCGTTATCGTTTGAGGAGAGGTCCAGAGGGTAGGAATGATACAAAAGGATGGGGTGAGTCATGCCAGAATAAACCCACAAGTGGAATCTGCTCATATTTTTCGGCAGTTCTTCGTACAGTAACTCTTCACACATATCCAGGCTCAATGTTGGGTTTACTGCATGAATCCAGGACTGGCCTACCCCCCTGGATCACGAGGGGTAACCGATACTGCTGGTAGTTGATGACTGATCACTCAATCACTTTTTTCATCACCAGGGTTTTTTCGTCACGACATGCCTGGTTCTTTTTTTTGAGCGCGGCATAAGATACACATATGAAGACACCCCAAACTTTTCGAGATAAACATGCATATGCAGGGCTCAAACCAGATGAATGGAGGGCATGCTAGACGGTGGTTGGAACATGTCGGAAGCGTGATGGGACTTTTTGTATCAAAGAAAAGCCTGGTAGAATCTGGTAGATCATGGTAGATCTAGATTCTAGATTCTAGGTGATTGTTGCTTCAAGATGGCTCTCAGTCCCAATAGCTGGCCCTATATATCATTATATATTATATAGCGTAATATATCGTAATATTGTCCTAGTCCTTGTGTGGATAGTTATCTAATGATATTTAACGAATGTGGTCAACCCAACAAGCTAACCCCCAAATCACCATAAATGGGTGGCATAAACCATCTGGGAATGGTAGGTTTATTATTGGGTCGCCAACATTACCTCCTAATTAAATCAAATTTAGTACGAAATGTCCCAAGATTGTCAGATTGCGGCAGGGGCCATGTTTATCCATGTTTGGCGTTTGTGGCAAGGAGGAATCGGAACAGGCTGCACCACAGCCAAAGCCAGCACAACCAGAAAGAAGACGGTCAGTGCAAATCAGTGATATGAAGGACAGCACAGACGCGGTGAAAAGTTGTTTTTTAAACCAATGTAACTGGGGATACAACACGCAGAATTGGACATTCAGCCGAAACATATGGGGATGAGGAAAGATGGGTCCAACTTTTAAAGCTGGACCCAAAGATGTTTTGTCCTTGTTTTGACGCAGTTTCGTTTCTTTTTATACAAATGAACACGTTCCATAGCACCCAAGTTAGTTCACGTTACACAAATGGGTTGTGAACCAACAAGTTGAGTGTTGTACCACCAAACTGATGATGTTTTCCTGTTTTATTATTGTACATGACTGACCCCAAGAACTCCGATTTCCAGGTAGCAGCATCATCTTCCAAAGCCCTGGATGGTTTTTTTTTGGGAACAATTCCATAGTTTCAGCTGGCTGGAAGCGCTGGCCAGATATGGGGAGCCCAGATGTTGGAAGCGGCGACGAATGGCGGGCTGCCACGGGGGGATTTCCCAAATCGATCCAACATGACCCAACTACAAATATTATAAATTGACAACAATATGATACCGATACCATACAATACAGATATATAAATTATACCATATCATAACATATCATAACCATATCATAATATACCATATGCAGATAATTCTCATCACCAGGTGGCCGTTGGTTTGGATGTGACCCAGGAGGTGCGGGAACCTTCAGGGCTACCCATCCACATTAATCGAGCACGAAGTCGAAGGCCGTGGGGCCGTGGGGAAAAGGTCTGGGTTTAGGGTCTTGATGTTTGCGGAAAATCTTCATCTATTAATATATTATACCCTCTGGAAATCTAACATAGCCATGGAGAATTACCATTTTAAATAGGTAAACCATCTATAAATGTGCCATTTTCCATGGCTATGTTAAATAACCAGAGGGTAATAATTACCCTCTGGTAATTCAACATAGCCATGGAAAATCACCATTCTTAATAGGTACACCATCTATAAATGTGCCATTTTTCATGGCTATGTTAAATAACCAGAGGGTAATAATTACTGTACCCTTTGGTTATTTAACATAGCCATGGAAAATTGCCCATAGAAATAGATGATTTTCCCAGCTATAAACCTCCATTTATTTTGGGGATTTTCCATGGCTATGTTAAATAACCAGATGGTAATATATTATATTATATTAATTGTAGCGGCTGGTGGTTTGGAACATGAACTTTATGAATTTCCACATATGGGGAATAATCATCCCAACTGACTAGTAACTAATATTTTTCAGATAGTACTGTAATATGTTTGATTCTGTTTGTCTATCCAACTCTTGTATACTGAAATTTGGTTACATATCTCTGTCTATGTCCATCTGTCTAGCTATCTAGCTATCTATCATTATCTATCATTGTCATCATGATTATCATAAAATTGGATGATGGGAAAATTTTAACCGGAAAGACCTATATTTGATGGTAAAAACCATGGTTTCCTGTAGATTTTCCCTTAAACCAATCCATTGATATCTATGTATCATTTTCCTTTTATCTTTCTCTAGTGTGCCGGTGCTCTACCCTGGAAGATCCGAAGATGGAAGGGGATACTTTTAGAGCGAGTCCCCGTCCCAGTTGATGAATGGAGGGTTGAAGCCACCAGAACCAATACGTAAATTGAAATGATTATGCATTTAGATTCCAGACCGGCCCAAAACCGGACTCGAAGGACGATCTGGGGATTTCAGTTGCACTTCTTTATAATGATAGCAGGGTTTCAACACATTTTTTTGTCCCATAGCCTCCAGTAAACCAACATAGCTATGGAAAATCACCATGTTAAATCATTGTAAGAAGTGAATGATCTGCAAATGGATCATTTCACATACCCTCTGGTAATTTAATATAACTATGGAAAATCACAATTTTTCATGGGAAAATCCACTATAAATGGCCTTGTTCAATAGCTATTTTGACATAACCAGAGGGTAGCTATCTGAGTTTACCGGAGGATGTTGTTTACCGATCCATTGCACCCTCAGAAAGAGCGACTCATGGCACCAGTGACACCAGGATATCGGTCGTCAGCAACATGTCCAAGTTATCCGCGTCCTCCTTCTTCATGCAGGAGAACCAATCCACAGGCCGGGACGAAAAAGGGCACATTTGGAGATGGAGAACGGGTGGAAACGATACAACGTACAGTAGCAGAGTTTGTTCGTAGATGTACTGTTTGCAAAGTTGCAGGTGGGTGTGTATGCGGCCAAATAAACATGATCTACTTCTCTTTCTCTGTGTTTGAGCCCAGTCTGGCTACCAAAAAGCATGCGCATTTGTCATATTATTGTATGAGTCTAAATGGGACGCTTACACACTTGACGGTGAACAGCATTTGCAAGATCCTGGATCTTCAATCTTAGCCCATGGCCATGTAGATTGATTCCATGAATGCTCGTTTCAGCCGAGGTATCTTGGGTAGATTCCTTCGAGACCCGGAATCTAGTTATGCAGCCTACCTTTTTGCGAATCTTTGGAACTACTTCATTGCAGTGACACTTGGACTACGATTTTTGTTCTGTGTGACTCGCCCGTTTTGGAAAACCAACTGTGACTCAGGGGAGGGCGAACTGTGCCGAGGACGGTGTTGCTCTCGTTGTCGCAGACCATCAAATCACCCCCCGTGAGTGGTCTCGCTGTGGGGATTTTGGAAACGGCAGCTCGGACTGCGATGCTCAAGATGGACGGACTGTAGCAATACACGTGAGATACAGCAACCCGAACAAAAGATAGAACAGTGATGTCCGATTACCTAACCAATGGCAAACAAAATCATCGACTTTTCTATCCTTTTTGGGGGGTTGCTACTCGTATGCGCTGTTCAGTTCTCTAAGGTTTAGATGGGTGCACAAGCTATCCGACACGAAAGTCATCTAAAATCATCTGGCTGAACCTCCTGGCTGGCCAAAGAAGTTCTTTCTGCTTTCTGTTGAATAAATCCCATAAGATTTGGGCTTCCCTAGTTGGGATGACTTCTGACAGATGTCATTCCCCAATTTTTGTTGATTTTACCCTCTGGTAATTTAACATATAGCTATTGAACATGGCCATTTATAGTGGATTTTCCCATTAAACATGGTGATTTTCCATAGTTATGTTATGTTGATTTTAGGTTCCGGTTCTTGTTGGATGAAGCCAGGGGACACCTGACACCGCCGTTTTTTGGTTCGTGCCAGGTCATCGAAAGCATCTTCCTGCTGGAGTGTGTGGCAGAGATGGCAATAGAAGTGCAGATGCACCTGGACATGGGCAACAGGAGTTCATGACAAAAATTGATAATATTATATAATAATATATAATATAATATATTATAAATATAATTGAGATAATTGATATTCATGACAACAGGAGTTGATGATAATTATATAATATTATATATATATATTACTAGGTTGCCATTTCGCACATTTTTTATTTTTTTTCCTGTGCGCTGCCCCGTCCGCAAGAACTGCAGCCATTTGTCACCGTGTTTTCATCATCTTTGCCGAGTTCTGGGTTTGGACCCTTGGTCAACACCTCAATGGGATGGGATGCATTGACAACATTCAATCAATCATTCAAGTAATTGCAGTGATTCCTATTGATGAAGAGATGCAGTCTATAGTCCAAAGTCCAAAGTCCACAGCATCGCGCGTTTGAGGCTCGCCCTGCTGCGCTGCAAAGCCTTCTTCCAAGTCTCCTGCGCTTCGACTTGGCAGTGTGGATCCTCAGCAGTGGAGCCAGACGGTTGATGTATGAGGGCTTTATTTCGGACGTGTTGTTTTGGACAACAACAAAGGAACTTCAAAGCTTCCATTTCTTTGATGGCTCCCCATGCTGATGTCGCCTGCTTCATGTTGGTTCGAGTCAGCAGTCCAGAGTCCGTAGTCCATCGACTGCGTGCTGCGAGTCTGCAGTTCATCGTCCATTGGCTGTGGGAATGACGCAGACCATCTCGTTGGCCGCGGAAGCAGCTGAGCGAGGCCAACAAAGTCAGCCGGCCGAACCAGCGCAGCCAGCTGAGGCAGGGCAGAGCTTGGGCAGCAGCAGCGGCACTATTGCAGTCTCCGATGCGCACATTGCTGCCAACCGCTTTGAGCAAGCCGTGGTGGCACAGGGCGTGTCCATTGCTCCTGGCATCCTTCGCCTTGGACCTGACGATGTTTTGGCCCATTTCTCGCGTTTTGGCCGCAGAATTTCTGGTTGTTTATAGCATTGTGAGATTGTTGATAGTAGCGATTATAATTCCTTTCATCTATTTTTTGATTTTAATTGACACTTGCATGCCGGTTTTTTAAGGAAAGCACATGAAAGCACTTGATGCTATCTATTCAATGGCAAGTTTGATTTATGGATATTTATACGTACTCATATAGGTATGATAGATTGATAGAGTAAGAATAAACATTAAGTAATAAATATAAATATACATTATATATATAATATATTATACTATGACAAGACGTCTAAAATTGATTTCAATCTCCTAAAGAATTTGTAGCAGCTGGCCTTCTGAAGCATGTTTTTTTTTGCGTCCCATGCTAATGTAACTGCTAGACTGGTTACCCAACTTTCCCGCATGTGGCCCTGAGGTCCTTGCAGTCTGCGCCACAGTTCTTCCAGGAAGAGTACAACACTGGCGAGCGATTTACTTGGTGCTTCGCTGGCTTCGACTGCTTGAGGTCCAGCTTTTACCCTGAAGGTCGCAGAACCCCACAGGCAATCAATGCCTTGTGCGGAAGTTCCTTGGCATTCCTGTGGTGCACATTTTTGTTGCAGGACATGGGAATATTGACAACTCATTGGCTATGTCAAAAAATCATTATTAATTAACATTTGTTGGCATTCAAGAAGGATGACCATCATTGATTTCTGTCAGGGTAGGAAAAGGAGAACGGGTTTCCTGTATCTTGCCTGCAGGCTTTGTGCTCCTGGAGGAAGACATCCAGCTGGAGGCTGAAGATGTTCTGGCACTGATTCCTCCTCGTGCCCATGTCCCGCAGCAGCTTTCGGTTGCTGCTTGCTTTGAAGAACGTATCATGTTTTTTTGGGGGCTTTGGGCTGGTGCCTTCAAGTTGTTTGAAGTATTTTACTTTTCCCCCTGTTAGATGGCGATTCTATTGCAAGGATTTCTCAATGAAATAGCCCAACCAATGATCAACTCAGTTGAGCTGCTGCGTGCGCGAGCTTCTGGAGCAGTTCCAACTCGAGCACAAGCATGCTGGCGAGCAGAAGCTGTTCCATAACCTCATGCACCCCTTCACGCTCCATTCTCTGGCTCGTGGGAACAGCTTGAAGGTGTTTGTGACTTGGACTTGGAAGGCAGACTGTTTCAGAGTCTTTGAGCCCAAGACTCCGCAGTCCAGCAGTCCTTTGCAGCATTTGACACCCAAAAGTGCGAGTGTTTTTTTTTGCTTGTGTAATTTTTGGCTGCAGGACAGGGATGAGGCCTGGGCGAATTGGCCACTTCCAGTCACATCCGCTGGCGAAGTCGCAGACGTTGGACTGTACGCCAGAGATGTCGTGAGTGTTTTTTCACAGAGCGCTTCACGAAGCAGTACTTGGAGCAGCTGGCCAGGTGTGGTGTGCGCTTGGGAGTTCAGCACACGATGCTGCTGTGCCTTGGTATGCGGTGTTGTTTTCCTTTATCTGCTGAAAAAGACCCTTGGTTACTTGGAAATGACCCTTCAGATGCAGATTATTCTTCAATTGGCAATTGAAGGGTCAAAACCGGCCATTGAAGGGTGTTGTGTGCGCAGCCCAGGCGAACGGAGGAGCTGCAAGTCATTCGGCACCTGGACAATGGCGTGCAGCAGTTTGTCTGCCAGCTGCCAGGGGAGCGTCCCCCTCACACCCAGAGCCTCTGGGTTTCAGCGGACGGCTACTTCTATGCGCTCTACATCACCCCAGCAGACGTATCCCACAAGAGCTTCAAAACACCGACAATGGTCTTGAAGGCTGCAGCGTAGAACCCATGATGGTTAAACTCAAAATGCTGATTTGCTAAAAATAACGATGTTGGTCCCATTGTTGTTGGAACCCAATGGTTTGCTTGGAAGCACTTGTGTTTGCCGAGTTTTTTCAAGAAAAGTCCGCACCTTGAAAGCAGGCAGAAGTCCTCAAAGGCAACTTCAACGACAACTTCGAGAACTTCGACATGACGTCCAAGAGGGAGGTGCCATGCATGTGGACGGGCATGAACGAAGACGACTTCGGGTTCTTCCTCAACGGGTTCCGGTTTGTTGCTGGGCCTGCTTTTATATCTAACTTTTACAGGTTCAGGGTCTTTTTTTCGTGGCAGAGATGGTTTTCCAAGCATTAAAATTAGGGTAAGGAAGGGCTTCTTGAGAGGATTCAAATCCCTTTTTCCAACCCAAGGTGGCAGCCATTTCGCACAAGCGCCGCCCGCTGGTTTTGAAGCTGGAGCGTCGCCAGGATGCTCAATGGAAGCCGTTCGAGCTCCATTTGGCCCGCTGCTGTGCTTGGCCCTCCGGCGCTGATGATGCCCTGAAGACTGGCCGCTCCAGGGTTCCTGAGGGTGCCAGCGCTGCCGCTGGCTTTGCTGATCCTTGGGACCAGTGAGCATTGACATAGAGCTGCGCAATTTAGTTGCAATGGAGAGCCTCTGACGCAACCGCAGTCCACAGTCCACAGTCCAAAGTATTAGCCTTTCAATTCTGAATTTCAAAAGATTGCTTGTGCAAAACTCCAAGTGGCAGTGGCAGTGGAGAGTTGTTTTTTTCAGAGGCTGTGCTTCGCATCATGCAGCAAGTGGCTTGCACCAACCTCACCCCAAACCATCATTGGTTGGTGCCATGGGCCTGACTCTTCCATTGGCAGCAGAAAAAAAGACTTTGTTTCAAGGGCTTCGCGAGGGAAACTAGAGGAATAAGGCTAAGCTACAATGATAAGTCTCGGGATGGAAACAATATTTCAAAATTTCCTTGTCATCAGAAGGCAACTTGACACAAGATGCTGCAAGCCTTGCGTGCTGAGGCTGGGCCTCTCGACTTCTTCGTCTTCATTTGCTGGCGAGCTGCTCTGCTGGAGGCCCGCCCTTTGAAGCGTGGCATATACATGCCCAACATGATGCAAAATCCTTAAATTTATTTTGCACATACAATGCAACTTCCAACTCTATTTTTTTGACGTTTGTTCTTCGCGCAGGACCTCTGGGGTCTGGTTGCCATCAAGTTGCAGGCAAGGATTGCGGTCAAATATAATTATGATTGACTTGAATTGTTGGTTTCTTGGTTTGGTTGGAACACAGACTGTCATGTTCAAGACGATTTAGACTGCATCATGCGCTCTTACCATGCCAGAACGCAAAGAGCATGATCATGTCCAGTGTCACTTTGGGCCCGGCTGTGCCAGGCCTACGCAGGGCAGGCAGGGGCAAGGCACCTAGCTGTCCAAAGCCCATAGTTTCCAAGCTGTGCAATGCAGCTGTCAAGCAATGCCAGAATCTTCATGTCATTTTAGTGGCTTTTCCTGGTACTTTGTTCCAAAGGACGTTTTCAACAATTTGTCAAAATGCCTAACTGGGTGATTGTGATTTCATTGGGCATATTGCACCACATTTCCTATCTTGGCCTGCGTGGTGGAACGTTTCAGCTGTGTGCCCGAGGCAGAGTCCACAGTCCACAGTCCACATTTCGAGCACCAATAACAGGCTGGAGACTTGGAGTGCAGGAGACATGCTGCAAGGTGGTCGGGTGTCGAGTCATGCTGAACAGTGCAAAGGTTGCAAGCAAAGCAAACCACCGACATTCAGTGGCCGGAGCCTCTTGACAAGTTTGTTTTGGGCATCCGTGTGGGATTGGCTGCTCAACCAACCAGTTGGTTTGTGAGTATGTGTTCAAGTTCATGTTCAAGTCTCTCTGATTCGCAAGGCCAGTCATACAGCTGCGGGCTCAACTTACAGCTGCATGTTCAGTTTGAACAGATTTTCAGAGGCGCACTCAATGGCGATTTGAATTTGATCTGAATTGAGCACATCTTAGTAAGATAGCGGTTTCTAGATTTTAACAAGGTTAAAGGTGCAACTCCTTCTCTCTTCCTCCTCTCCTCCTCTCTTCTTCCTCTCTTCCTCCTCTCATCTTTCTCTCTTCCTCCTCTCCTCTGCGTTTTCCTCCTTCTGCCAGCCCATTGTGGCTTTGGGCACTAACGGGCCCGGAGCTCACAGCAAGTGTCAGATGCTTTGGTTCAGTGTGGGCATGCATGGACCAGAAGCAGCTGGGCACACATGGATAGAATGCCAGCTAGTTTATCAGGACCAGGATAGTATTATACATCACCAATAAAATGACAGGATGCCAAATAGAATGCCAGAGATAAAATGCCAGATAGACTGCTAGAATGTGAGAATCTCTTTCAGATAAACTTTCAGAAATAATGCCAGATAGAATGTCAGAACGTCTGCTAAGATGTTAATAGATACAGCAGTGAGATAGAGAATGCCAGATAGGACGGACGAGGTGGCATGTCAGAAAATATGTCAAATTCAGAGTCAAATGGGATGCCGCATAGAATGCCAAGACTATATTCTGAAGAATGTGTCCGATAAAATGTCAAATAGAATGCAAGATAGAATGCCAGATAGATTGTCGGAACACAGGTCAGAAAGAATATCAATGGGTCGGGCTCGGGATCACTTTGAACATATTTTTTGTCACAAGTGCCTGGTGTGCAGCCTGCACCCGCTTAGGCTTAAGCGTGCCAGCATTCTGTTTGCGACAGCTTGCCTGATGCCCAGAGCAAATCCATACTACTCTGAATTTTGAACGTTGACTTGCAGTGCAATTTTTCAAAGGCAGAACTTGTGCACAAAGTCTCGGTCTAGTCCATTGTTTTATGTCATTCCTTGTTGCAAGATTCTTTTTGCCCAAGCCTCAAAGTTCAGAATGACAGATCCCAATTTCCCAGCTGAACTCCTCAATTGGTTGGATGGCTGGGGTGGGAGGTTGAAGGATTTAGTGACTGATGGATGCAAGCAAGCTTGGGCGACTTGCACAGCAACAGTCCACAGTCCACAGTCCGCTCTCCCGCCAATGCTTCGTGTAGGAACAGATTGCAGTGGCATTGAGGCGCCTGTGCATGCCCTCCTGGGATTAGGCTTGCCGCATCAGCACATGTGGTCCTCTGAGGCAGCTGAGGCCCCGAGGAAGGTTTCATTGGCCAACACGCGGCCAGAGAAGATGTTCACTGATGTTGTGAGCAGCTCTCAAGGTGAAGCACCTGCTTTCGTAGAATTGTATGTGTCTGGCTTTTCATGTAAGCCTTTCTCAACATTGCACCATCAAAGCAAGCTGCTTCAAGAGGACGAAGCTGAAGTTTTTTTTTGCTACTGTCGATCGCATACACCAGGTGAGGCCATCCTGTTTTGTACTAGAGAATGTGATGGGCATTCGTCGTGTGGCAGCGCAAGTGCAACATCATTTGGTCAGCAGTGGGCTGTACACCGTGATCCCTGTCGAAATGGACCCTGCAGACTTAGGAGAGCCTGTGCGGAGGCCTCGGCTCTATTTCTTGGGTGTTCGCAAAGATGTTGCATTGGCAGAGTCAGCTGTGCTGACGAGAATTGTTGAATGTGCTTGGCATTTTGTGAAACAACAGTCCTCAGTCCACAGTCCAAAGTCCAACGCGTTGCTGCGCCGACTCTTGCCTGCCTCCCATCCAGCTGTAGAACAGCATCAGAAGCTCCGGAAAGAAAGATGGCTACAGGCCGGCAGTGCACAGACACCCACTGGACCTTTTATTTGAATATTGGTGACAGTTTCCATACTTTGAGTGAGATCCATTTTCCAGACTTTGAGTTTGCTAAGCGCAATGAAACAACATGGTGTCTTGACCACTTGGATCTGATTCAAATCCTTGACAGGCCAAGAAAGCTGGATTTCCTGCTGGCAAAGAGCATGCTAGGTGGCAGGCCGTGCATGACAAGGTTCGAGCAGCAGAGCCCATGCTATCAGTGAAATGTTCTGCAGACGACCTGTTTTTGCATTTGCCCCGGTTGCGGGATGCATGGAGCATTCTCAGTGCCAAGCATCGTGGTTGCCTGGCAGCAGATCTATCGCAGTCAGTGTCTAGAGCTGGTGTTCGAACAGATGGCCGCCTTCCTACCATCACTCCCGGGAGCATCTTGGCTGTTGCTGATGCTGGTCGGGTGGTGATCCCTTTGGAAAAGATTTTGCTCCATGGATTTCCCATCCACAGAATGAGAATACCACCTGGCATCACGGAGAGACAGCTGGAGAGCATGGGTGGGAACACGATGCATGTTCATGTTGTGGGGGCGGCGATTCTGTTGGCCCTTGGGTTGGTTGATTGGAGCTTGCCTGCTGCAAACATCCCTTGCCCTCCATCGACAGTGTGGCGTCCAAGCTCTGCACTTCAGGGTCCGAAGTCCAAAGTCCACAGCCCAGCAAAGCGCCAGAGAAAGAACAAGATTCAGACAAGATCCAGGAAGGTCCAGGTTTGCAAGAAGGGAAGTGGAGATCTGACAGCAAAAGCAGCAGATAGACTGAAAGCCCGCTGGAGCTTACATGCCAGAGCTCGAAAGAAACAGTCCAAACGAATCTGTGGCCCACAAAAGGTAGGGAAAACTATAGTGTCGGTCCTAAAGGGCACACGTTGGGGCTAAAGATTGGGAGAAGTCTGTTAATTAATTTGTTAGAGGCTGTCCAATTCGCTTAATTTGTATAGTTGGGCGTGCAAGATGCCCAGCCCATGCCCAGAATTTCTGCTTGCATGTAATTTACAGATTCAAAAAAAACGCTCTGCTGGCCCTGATTTCGTTTTACTTTGTGCTACCTTACTTTCTGCAGTCAAAAGCTTCCCAAAAAATGATTCGGATTTCCTTTGTTTTCAAGGCTGAGCCTTGCACGACCGCGCTTCCTTTGCGGCCAAGCTTGGAGCCCAGTTTTGTATGATTATCGATATGATATGCATCTCACCATATCTCAACCATACAGCTCAGGTAGTAGCATGTCATGCTTTCTGGATCTCAGGCGTTTGCCAGTGCCATTTATCTTGTCCATCAGGGGCCAGGTGGATAAGTTTACACCTGTGTTGCAGCCATTTGGCCTGCCTTCCACAGTCCCAAGCCCAATCCGTCTTGACCAGCACTTCTGGATGACAATGGGCACGCCACATCACGGAGCGCATCTAGCTCTGATGGCCTCCGTGGCAGATTAGCTAAGAGGTTTGGTCTAGCTCCAAGCTCTTCTTCCACGAAAAGAAAGAAGCCTGGCAGCACCCAGCCTTCAAAGAAAAGGCAGAAGGTAGAGCACAGTGCCTTGCCTTCTAGCACTGGTAGGGTCTGTAGCAGCGGTGATGACCCCACAGAGCAAGCTTCAGCCAGCTTGCATACCGAGCTTGATGTTGGGGACACAGAGGAGTCTGCAGCTGAGCACTTAGCACGGCATGGGAGCAATCGTCAGAATTGTGCTCGTTGTAAGTTGCTTGCCTGTGCTGGTGTGAGCAGACCCTTCCATGCAAGCTTTTGACCCTTGTAGGTGAGAATTTGCTTTATTTGTCAACCGAAGGGTCGAATATGCGCGCCCAAGCCTCTATTAGCAGTTCTTCTCAATGCCCAGCCTAGGTATTTGTGCTTTTCCTCCAAATGGGCTTCTGTGGCAAGCTTGGAGCACACATCATGGGGAAGAAAGCATGTAACTTGCTGGCTAGGTGAAAGGCCTGCAAGGAGAGGTGGAAAATGGGCAGTTGGATGCCATTTTTGCACTCACCTGATTCACAAATTGGCGGGCGACCCACAGCAGCGGAAGCTTCTGCCTGGTGCTCAAGTTGACATTGAATTACTCTTAGCATCTCTTAGCCTGCGCCGCCCTATAGGCAGCTTCCTTCAAATATTTGGGTGCACCCCATGCATCTTGAGGCTTGGAAGCCGGCTGGCCACGAAGTGGGGTGCTTATGAGGTTCGATCCTTGAGACTCGGCTGATCGGTTGCTGCAATCAGGTGATATAGGGGCGTAGCTTTGGGCATGCAAAGTCCGCAGTCCACAGTCCATCGTGCTGGCTTTGCCAGAATCTTGCTGGTGATGATTGCCTTGAGGAAAGTGATGCAGGCCTGCTGCCTGCAGCAGCATGCACGTTGCACTGTCCACCGGGTTGCCGCAGAGTTCTACCTGGCTCCTGAGAAGCCCCTTGTCCAATGCTTGCCTTATTTGGCTGCAGATCAAAGCCTTTTCAAAGGCAATGTACCCCAGCCGCTTGATTGGCTTCGAGCTTGGCGCGCCTGTAGAACCCCTTCGAGTTTTCAGGGTGCATTGCAATACTTTGAAACCGAAGACTTTGCTGCTGGCCATCGATGTGGTCTGCGGAAGGGCAGTCGCTTGCATTGGGCACCTGTTTTTGCGAAGCTTTTTCCCAAAAGGACGTTTTGTTTTCCATGGGGCAATTAATGCCAAGTCCTAATTTGATCAATTATGCGCGCATGGTCAGGCTTAGAGCAGATGATCCTGGTCATGCACTGGGCTGTCAAGTCCATTCGAATGAAGCGGCTTTCCGAAGCCAATAGCATCAGCTTGTCAGTTGATGACCGGAAGGACTACAGGCTTTTGCGGTACCGGTGCAATCTTCCATGCCCAGCATCCAAAGTTCAAAGTCCGCAGTCCACAGGCGTCGGCCCATCCTCTTTGGAAGAATGGTGCGAAGTGCCTCCTTTGATAGCTGATGGTCGGTCTGTTGGGCGTGTACCGCACAGGCCAGGATGTGCCGGAGAATACCCTGGAGGCTCACGATGCAGACACGAGCATTGCAATGGCAAAAACTGTGCATGAGCTCATCAGAAGGGCATGCATGGACCCTGATGGACAGCTGGACCAAGTAGCTTTGGACCTCATCAAAAGCAACATCAGGCACTTTGCCTCTGACCAAGGCCCAAGCGTCAGCAAATGCGGGAAGGTTTTGGCTTCTGATGGTCAACTTGGCTCGCTGGTGTACTGTAGTTTTGATGCTGCGCACCAAGTGCGAATCGGCTGTAAAGACCCTTTGCAAGCACTTCCAGGCTTCGAAGCACAGTGGAAGGCACTTTTTGGTGGGAAAGAGGCATTGCTGCCCTCCATTCAGAATTCAGATGTGTGGACTGCAAGGTTGCTTGCTGCCCAGCAGAAAGTTTTGGAGATGTATGGGCGGCAGGGTGTGCTGGAGAAGACGCTCAAGACGTTTTCCTTCGCGCCTCAGCGCTTTGACTCCGCTGCGTCGCCGTTGCTGAAATATTGTTGCCTCATCAGGGCAATTGCTGTACTTTGTGGCATGCAAGCAGCTGACGTGCTTTGATTTTGCTTCAGCTTTTTTCACTAGCAGTGCCTTTGTGGACCCACTTATGGTTGATTTGTGATGCACAATACCTGCTGAGGTTCGCAATAGCCGAGATGTGCGGAGACGTGCTGAAGAGGCATTGCAGAAGATGGTCCCTTCGCAACTGATGCGTGCTGCAGTCACATGCGATTATTCCTCGGAGTGCCTAGCTTTTTTGAGATCGAACTTCGACATTGACAACCCAGACCCTGCTGGCATCTTCCAGGCGTTCAAAGATTTTCACAGTCGCATGACCGCATTGTTTGTGGAGGGCTTCATTCTTGGAGATGCCGCAGCAGTCCACAGTCCATGGATGGATCTTTGCCAAAGACAGCTTGTCAGCTCGTTTTCGAAGAGATCGAGATCCCTGAGCCGATCCTTTGGCTAAGCTTGAGTTTTGCAAACGTTGAGAATTTGCCAAGCTTCAATGATATGAATTTAAAATATGCTTTTTCACCCTTTTCTCTGGCAGGATCTACTATGGTGATCGAGTTCACTATCTTTGCACTTCTGCGTCGGTTGCAGACATCAGAGTGGTGATGGGCGACATTGCCCATGTCGTGCAAGCTATGCTAAAGCGTTTGCGGGCTGACCTTCTGCAAGATGATGTGGCAGTGGCCTTGCACGCCTTTGATTTGCTGGCCTGGGAATCTTCGAACAACCATGTGCACCTGCACACCCGCTTGAAGCAGCTTTGCAAGATGCTTCGAATTGATTCTCACCATGTAGTGCCTGCACTTGCTGCAGGTGCCCAAGTTCTTCTGCCTCTCACGTCCCGGGCGAGACAGCTGAGATTCCCTGTTGAAAACAGGGCTTGCTGGTCATGGCTCTTGCATCCAAGCTGGCGAGCCAAGTATGCTGCAAAGTTGCAGTGGACACAAGACTGCTCATTCCTTGTCCAGTTCTACCTCTCTCTGAAAATGAACACAACCACATTGGAAAGAGACTTGGGGCAACTTTTGCTGCACTTGGATGCTCACAGCGGCCCGCTGTCTTCCACTGGATCTACTATGGCTTCCATCATGGAGGTCAACATTGAGGGGCCTCAGTCCGAAGAGGGCTTCTTCAGGCCAAACCCAGATGGCGGGCCTTTGGAGCCAACAGATTTTGGTCGACTGTGTGCAAAACTATGGCTGCAGCACTTTGGCCGACGATTCCGGTATTCCTACAAGACCAAGAAGGCCAAGGCCAAGACAGTCCACAGTCCACAGTCCAAGGCCAAGTCTGGAGTCCAGTCCAAGCCGAAGCATGGCACATTTGCAAACGCAATTTGGAGCCGAACTCTTGCTGCTACAATTTGTGCATCCAAGAAGCCAGGGAGCATTGTTGAAGGGCTGGAGCTTCCTTTGCCGAAGCCTTCTACTTTGCAGGGCACACGGTGGGCTTCGTCTTCAAACTCGGCCGTGTCCCAAGCCTCCACACTGACAGGAAGAAGCAGCGAAGCTTGGCTTTGACCCTTAAATGTTTTTTTAATTCTTCGGCTTTGATTGAAGCTGCAACCCTCCCAAAGTATATTTTCAAATTTCTGACCACCCCTGCCCCTATAAATAGCATTGACGGATTGATCTGTGCCATTCACCTCTCGAACTAAAAAGTTCTCTGGTAGATTGCCGGGAGGGCGCAGAAAAAACATTTTTGCTAGATGACAGGCCTCTAAAGACCATGGAAGAAATGACCTAATGTCACACCTCATATGGTGGCCACACTATGCTTTTGGAATTCAAACAATGCAGCAAGTTCAATTTCAGATCCACTTCCTGCGAGTGCAGCGCCAAGTACAGTGGTAGGAAATTTCGTCATGGGAGCGCAGTGCACAAGCTGTGAATAGAAATTTTGGTTGCTATGTAGTCCAGGTGTCTCAATTTGGGATCCTGCCCGCCCTCCATGTGGATGCATCATGCATTTCCATTGAAAACTTTGCCGGCCGACTATGGTGCATGTGCAAGAGATGTAGACAATGAACAATTTTTGTTTGAAAATGCAGCAAACTTTCAAATTAGATAATCTTTACAGCCTCAAGAATGTGATATTCGAAAGCTAATGTTAAAGCAAGCGCACCGAGTTATGAGTTAAGTTACCCAGTAATTATGGCGATGATGGTAGTGTTATGGTTTGAATTGGATTTCTATTTTGGACTATCTGGCTGGGATGCCCTGCCATCATCTTCAGGACATCTGGCAGAAGGTCAGAATAGGAGATGTGGGCGCAATCCGTATGTTGCAACCAAGCCTCTGTTGGGCGGCCTCCGTGCCGAGACCAAGCCTGCACAGGACAAGTTGGTCAGATGCATTCGGGCCCGCCAGCAGTTGAAGATTTGCCAGACTTTTCTGCGCTATGCAAACAGTCCGGTATTGATGGCAAAGCCAAACTTTGTCCTGGTTCCAGTTTATGATTGCGCAGAAGCAGATGTTATAGTCTTGGAGAAGCTGGCAGATATCGACCTTGCTGCGGGCAACCCACATTTGGCCAGAGGCCTACTTCTTGTTTTATGTTCGCACCAGAAATGATTTCAGCAATGTCTTGGAAATTGTCAGGCAGCAATTGCTAGAGCTTTCAATGCCTTTCAAGGATGCCAGCATTTATTGTTGCATAATACACTTCAACTCTCCTTGCCAAGGCGACAGCCTTGCTGTGCGTCTTTGGCTTTGGCAAGGTGTTGGCGTCCAAAGCAGACATGGCAGCCTTCATGGCAGCTCCAAGTCTTGAAATCGAGGATAAGATGCTTCACTTCAAGCCTGCCATTCGTTCTAGATCATTGGGCATACAGCTCAGAGCGCAGGTGTCGGAGTGCCCTGGTTCCTTTCACCATGTTGTTTTTTTGTTTCAGTGTGTTCGACGGTAAACTTTAGAAGCCTTGCAAGCCAATAAAGGTTGCGATTCCCCCACTGCAGGCATAGATCGTTCTATGCAGCCCTTCGGGCATGCAGAGCTGCTGAGCAGTCGAAGTGGAAAGTTGCAGTCGGCAAGCTTCCTTCAGAAGTATGTACAAAGCGACGGCAGGTCTTCACCTTGTCCGATTGGCAGGATGTATGGTCTTTCCTGCGCACTATCAGGACACTAGCTCAGCCTAGAAGTTTGGGGGGCAGCAAGTTTGCTGTGCGTGACCTTGCTAAAAGCAAGGGCACATAGGCAAGGCTGCAACTTTTTATTAGTCTGCGTTTCTGTTTGTACAGAGGGGATGAAGGGTTATATGCTGCATGGGGAAGTCAAGAACCTCATGCCTACAGTCACCACCAACCAACTCCCGGTTTGCACCAACCAAGAGCTGATTGCTAGGGAAAAAAACATCCCATTTTCACTTTTCCTGCAAATGTGCATTGTGAGGATTTGCTATCATGAGATTAGACTCCTGGTTCGCACCAACCAGCAGTCTATTCGAGGTGAAAATTTCCCTCTGAATCTACTTTAGTATTGGATTCCTTTCCCCTCCAATAGACTCCCGGTCGGTGCAAACCAACGAAAGCAGCCATCCAAGGGTAAATGGCTGCATCCAAGGGTAAAAATGGCAGCTCTGAGGCATCCAAAATGTGCATCCAAGGGAAAAATGCCTACTTCCAAGGGTAATGCTTTCAGTTTGATGCTTGTGTATTACTCAGACTGCGCATCAGGTTGATGCTTTCAGAGACTGGGCCACGCTCTGCATGGTCAAAGCCAAGCCGGGCTGCTGCTGCTGCTTCGTGTTTGCAAGAGTAGGGCCGGATATCTTCACTTTAAATAGTTAAATGCCATGCTGCTACAAGCCTATTATGGTTCCAAGGCTGCATTACATTGCGCCAAGGGGGAGCAGCTTTGGGACTTGGCAGATTTCCTGTTTCGTAGCTTACGCCTTCGAAGAGATGTGCTTGCCACAGTGCCAAACTAAGCTGCGGTTACCAAGTTGATTTTGAAAGCGCAGTGGTAGCAACACAGCTAGAAGTTAGAGCATGGCTCTTGAGGCATGGCTAGCTGCTTGGCTCACCTACCGTGCCAACTGCCTGGCACCAAAGAAAGCCACTTGGATAGTCAAACACATGTGCTCCTCACTGCGAAGCTAGCAGTCAAGCTTGCGCCCAAACTAAGGTGCGTGTGAGAAAGACATCTCCCTTGATCTTGAAAGTCTTGCAGGTGGCAAACCCATTTCTGATGATGCCCACAGGACAACCCACTTTCCAGGTTCTTCACGCATTCCGTGGGAGCTTCACGCATGGAGCTACCAGGTCAGCCCGCCACTTGGCATTAAGCTTGGAATTAAGCTCTTTCTAGCAGGTAATGATGACAGATGATGTTTGTTGTTTGCAAGCACTTGCCTCAGAAGCTTCTGGTTTGAAGGCCGCGCTTGCCACTCTCACTGTGTCAAGGTAGGGATGAGACAACACGAACATTGGCCAGTCTGTTGGCATGCAAGTCCATCTACAAGCTCCCATATGGAGAGCAGCTTGGCTTCGTTGTTGCAGCGTGCTATGTCAGAGATGTGAGGCCAGCCGGTGTGGTGCTAAGCTTCATTCAGTTTTTCTAGCTGGCACATTGAAACGCTTGATTTGAACTTTGTTTGGAGGCTGGCAAAGTACTTCTTGAAAGTTGCCAAGAAAGCCTCAAGCACTTTGAGTTTGACAGAGGCTGTGGTTGGCTTCTTCAAAGACACGCAAGGAGTTGGAAATCGCAAAGCTTTTCTGCCACCGAAGCAGGCAACTGTCCGGTCTTTGCGTAAGCACCAGTCCAAAGTCCGCAGTCCAAAACTCAAGCGCACCCTGAAGAAGGTATTTTGGCTGCATCTATCAAGCCAGCTTTCTTCACATGGATGGCAGCTGCAGCTAGGATTGGGTCTCCACATCTGGTGAGGTACGTATCCTGCCCAATACAGACATAGCTGGGCTGACCTTGCCGCGGATGTTGGAATTTGTGGGCCAATTTATTGATGGATCTGTTCTGCCGATGATCATCCACCATGGCGGAACATGGAAGGTCGATCCCGACCAGAGACCTGTATGCACAGCAGTGCCTGAGGCTATTGCTGCAGGGTTTGAGCAACTTCAGTTTAGTTACAGTCAAATGATACCAGAATTGCCCCCAATTTTGCAGGGAGATTGGGAATATATTTTAATGGCCAATCAGTTTGTTGCATTCCCCTCAAGGTGGAGTGACAACGCAAATAACAGTTTGAAGTTGCATTAAAACTCGGAGGGAAGCGATGCTTTATTTGTTTCAACTATATATGTGTTATCGAAGTGTGCGGGGCAGTGTATGCAGACGGTTGCCTTTTCTTAAAGCCATTTGGACCTGGGTAGCTTCTTATTCTGCCAGGTGATACCACATGCTAACCTCACATAGTCTCACGCATTTTCACATCCCAAGTCTCAAACCAGGAATCGCAACCTACCAAATTTTGGCCTTATGTATGTCCAGCACGCTATGAATCTGTAGCGAGGGATTGAGATAGTGATGGGCACAGATCTTTCCAGCGAGAAATTGGCGCACAAGTTGACCATGCCGAAGAAGTCGCTAAAAATGACCTTTAAGCATGCATGGGATGCGGCTGAATCTGTAATGGTGAACGACGGTGGAACAAGGGTACTGCTTATATGGGATACTACGCCCTTCCAGCAGCAACACGCGCACCTGCACCAACCAACCACCAATGCTTGGATGCCGTTGATATCTGCACGATTTGCTGACTACTTCTAAATGGCAAGTGTTTTTTTTTTAGCGCGAACGCCCTTGCTCAAATCGAGATTCTGCTTTCTGTGCTTTTGCTGGACGCTAGTTGCATTTAGACTAGTGCTAGGTTCTTGCCAGCATGCCCTGCTATCTTGGTGCTACGCCTGGAGCTTTGTGTGGTGCTGGTAGCTTTGTGTGGTGCTGGTGGCTTCGCAGTGGCTGTTTTTGCAACACACCAACTTCTACCTACCTGTTTTCATATCTTAGGCCATAGCTTGACGTTCTTTCCACTGCGATTATTTTTTTCTGTAGGAAGTTTCATTCGGAATGAGGGAGCACAGTATGGTCAAATGATGGTTGGCATAGTTGGAAATTTCCGTACTGTGTTTGTCAGGCTTCAGTTTAAGGAGGAAATGTAGTCAGTTCTAGCAAATCCATATGAATTAAATCGAAGGCGCCTAGATGGCATAGAATTACTTTAGTAGATTACATGACATCGGAAGGATCCAGTTCCCTTGCAAAGGCATCTACTATTAGGGAGCTGTGAAACTTACACCATGGCGCCCTTTCCGGGAATTTCATATTTGAGCCATCCGTTTCTAAATGGACTAGCGAGATTTATCCAAATAGCTTTCGATTGCTCTAGGCAGGGAGATGCGGGCAGTTCAACAGCGTTTCGAGGGACCCTTTAAGGTTTATGATTTCAGAGAAATTAATTAACTTGTATGATTTCATATGATAGGGGCCATCGTGTCGGGATTACAGATGCGTTTAATTGAGTTTACACCCAAATGATAAATATTTGATCCTGAGTAGGACATTTTACAGTTTGGATGGCGCCATGCCGGGTTAGGAAAATGATGCGACATCCAAGCGAGGCATCCCACACAAAACCTTTGAAAAATGGTGCTGCCCTGAAGCATTTATGCCCCAACCAATACCCGTCAAGCATCAATTCTTAAGTGAGACCCGAAGCAATTACATACGCATTTGGTCATTGCAACAGGCAATTGGATATTGGGTAAACGATAAATTGAAGAAAAGTGCTGGCTTATTATTTCAAGATACGCCTGCGTTAGCAAAAAAATGTCCGGAAACCAACTTGTTACTGGATACGCACCCTAATTATACAACCTACCCTATGGTGTTTATTTTGATCAATGCAGATTTATCGAAGAAATGGTATGGCTTACAGTTTATAAAATGACGGGATAATCACAAAGTCGTGGACATTGACCGCATGGGTTGATCAATGATCAGAGGTTAACCAAGCAGGAAAATCATGTGCTTTCATGCTCACGATCAAAAACTGGTTAAGGGATCAAGGCAATTGCACCATGCCAGCCCAATTGGGTACCTTCCTTGCCATCAGTTTATCAAAACACGTCCATGAATGTGTCACATGTATGAACCAGTTAGTCGTCAGAGCTCCTTTGTATTTGAACCAGCAGTGTATTTTGTATCCTGCTTGCTAAGTATGCCATCAAACCGTAATGATGTTCCGTGTTTTTTTGCCAAAGCCTTGGACGGTTCCTGATGGGTCCTTTTGTTTTGCAGGGGCCGCAAGCAATATGAACCCCCCACATGAACTGGTATGACATGGTATGGCGGCATGACATTCAATCAACCATTCCAGCCCGGGGTCCAGCAAAAAGTGACAAAATAAAAGCAGTTCACAGTCCATAGTCCAGATGCCATGAATGTGGCAATGACAAAGATTCGCCTTTTTGGCACAGATCTCACAATTTAGTTTTCGCGCGTTGGCCAAGGATTGGAAGCATCAAGATGGTGGCTCGGAAGCTCATGCCTGTCCACATCGCAGAGCACCTGAAGGCGCTGGATCACCTTGCTGATCTGGAAAAGGTGGATCAGGAAGTTTGGCGTCTCGACTGAACAGGATGGCAAAGACAGTTTAGTTGCGAAAGCAGTTCCTGTGTATAGCAGTTTTTCAATGTCCAGCAGCAGGTACAACAATTCCGGTCAAATGCAACTGGAGTTGACTGCTTTTCTCTTCTGCTGCAATATGCCAGGAACGGCTCCAATGCCAACAAGTTCCAAGTATGGTCTGGGCTCCGTGTGGACGAAGCAACTGTTTTAGTGCGTGACCATTTGCAGGAGCTTTCCGATGCAACAGGTTGGAAGAAGGTGGCCGGCCTCGTGGATGAAGTTGATGAGTCTGTAGTTATCATAGGCAGCTGCAAAGCTGTGCAATGCTTACGGAACCTCGGCTGTGCAAAGGACAGTTTCGATTTTCATTCCGGTAGTCAGTCAGGTCCAGCCCACAGCACTACAAATTCACAGTTGCGCTAGCCTCAGGAACTTCTGCTTCCATGAGGGCAAGAGCCGCTTGGCAGGACCATGTCATTTTCCCAAGTTCAGCTTTCATGATTTGATGGTAGAACAATAAGATAGCAAAGCAGTGGTATTACTTGACCTATTATTGCCAAAAAACAGGCTGCTGGCATTATGCAAATCATTCTGGGGCACTGTGGCTTGATCACTGGGTAACCGCAGTTGCCTAAGCCTAGGCAATTGGGTTGGAGATGCTTTGCCCGAGCTGAAGACGGACCTGCAGGAACAAGCCATGGACCACAGGCTTGGAACTTTGATGAATGCAAAACAAGCATGGTAGATTGACAACTGCACAGGTTTGCGCGGCAGCGATGATTGGTGAAGATTTGAAGGATGGAGGCTGGATCCTGAGCTTTTTGCCAGCCAAGTGAAAATTCTTTCCTTGCAGTTTCTGGTTCTGGTTGCCCATGGCATCACTTCATTGATTTGCATTACCTTGCAGGTCCAGTGCCTCTGGCCGAGCATGCGTCCATTGGCACAGGCTTGCATGCTGCAGCAAGAGAGCGAGTCAATTGAGGTGATCCTGTGCAAATTCAATCTCGCAATGAATCTACATGGCTAAGGATGTTTAAAAAACAAGTGAGTGCTTCCTTTCATCAGAGCCCAGGGGTGCAGCCTTAATTTCCTTCCGTGGCAGAATGTTGGAAATGCTTCGATGTTTTGCGACTTTTTTTCGCTTTGCAATCTGCAGTCCAAAGTCCAAAGTCCCAAATCCAGCCCTCCAAGCTTTAGATACTTTCGATGGCAAACGCACAGTGGTGCACTGTGGGCTATGCTGCCTGGTCGGAGAAGCTGTTCAACCAAGTCAAGGAGGAAGTTGGACGGGATGGCCCTCATTCTCACATTGGGCTGCGGATGTTCTATGACTCTCCTTTGTCGGCAGTTGCCGCCTCTCGCAAGACAGCGGTCCGTGTCTTGGGTGGCACATTGTCTGACACTGACCGTCCTGCCAAGAAGTTGCTGAAAGCCAGCGGGCACGAGGCCATGGAGGAGGCGCTTCTGACCCCAAACTATGCAGTGTTCAAGTTGGAGACCACCTGCAACATCGCAGCAGCATTGTCGGATGGCAAGTTGAGCTTCGATGCCCGCCTGAAGACCTACAAGCTGGATCTCCCCATGTGCCCTTTCGGGTCAATGAGTGATGAATGGAGGATTTTGACTCAGTGACTTGAAAGGTAGATTTTCGCGATAGCGTTTTCCTTTTGACAGATATTGATTGGTATCATGTCAATGCAGTTTTATTTTTTGTTACCCACATGCCAGGTGAGGGCCTCTGGATTTTAACTGCGGTGCAACTCCTATTCTCTTCCTTTTGTCTTTCTTTTCTCTTCCTCTTCTCTTCCTTCTCTCTTCCTCTTTCCTTCTGTCCTGCGCGACTTCCTCCTTCTGCCAGCCTGTCATGACTTTGGGCAACACCGGGCAGCAGACGTTTCATTGTGAACTTTGGTTCAGTCTAGGCATGTATGGACCCGATCCCCATCGCGATCTCTGGCACACCTGGAAATTGAGCCTTCTTGCAAGCTCCGGAAGCAGCTGGGCACGCGTGGATAATGCCAGATAGAATGCCAGTCAGAATATGTCAAATAAAAATGTGATATAAGATTGCCAGATAGATTGCGAGAATATCTGTCAGCCAAATAGAATACCAAACACAACGCCACATGGAGTGTCAGAAAATATGTTATTAAACAATAAAATAAGAATGTTAGATAGATTTTCAGTACACGTCAAATTGACTGTAGTGTGTGGGGATCACTCGAAGAAAGTAATTTGCTTAGTTTTGTGTTGGGTTTGTTGTGTGTTGTCGACTGTGGCGAGCATGTGGTGGCTCAGGCCTTGCACGCTCTTGCCGAAGCTGCTGAAGGATTTTGATCATTGCAGCGAGCCTGCTCCTGAGCCAAGCACTGCCCCCCATGAGAAGCATGAGGTCAAGAACTTCAACTTCACATACTACGTGGCGATCAACGACCTCGGCAACCCTGGCTGTTTGCCTGAAGCAGATCCAGCTCCAATTTGCTACATTCTCAACCGAAACGATGTTGGCCCAGTGAGCTTCTTTGACCCGTTTTCAGACCCATGCTTCCCACTCTGTGCATCCAGTATGACATCAATGGTTTTGGGCTTCTTTGCTTACAGATTGCCTGTGACCACATTGGTAAAGATCCAAGCCCGTGGCTTGATTGGCGGCAGAGCCCCATACGATCATGTCATGGGGGGCTTTTGGAAGTTGCCAGCATTGTCTGTGGCCGATCTGCTCAAGGATGGTGAAATCCAAATGTCTTTTGCGCCTTACGAAATGTCTTTGACCCAGACAGGGCCCTGGAAGACTGCCACCGAGCTTTGCGGGGAAGCATCTGCAAGTTGCTTGCGGAAGCGGAAGGCTGAGTGTTTGACAGAGATTGCTGAGATGCGCAACCAGCTGGCTTTCAAGCAGTCTGAGCTGGAGGGCATCACGCAGAAGCTGAAGCAAGGCTGAGTGCATTCGTCCGCAGCCTGCTTTCCACACAATGTTGTCTTTTAATCCTTAGGTGGACACACATTTTGATGCTTATAGTGGATGTGCCTGTGTCCCCTTTGTGCAGATAGGTCGAGCAATCCAATCTTCGTAGGTTGACCCAGATGCGCAAAAAAGAAATACACCAGCAAGGCTTGGCACAGTTTCCCAGAGAAGTCACAGGATGCATCGTGTGTGAAACAGATTCTCGGCTCAGCTTACAGCTTTAAAGTTCACAGTCCAAAGTCCAAAAGTCTAATCCTCCATGCCATCGCCTGTCCCAACCTTGCCCACTGAGGGGCATGTTGGGATCTCAGTTTCTTGTTGGTTACTTCTATTGTTTTGAATAGGGCAGCATATTGGATAATTCAAGTCGTTCAGGCATAGCATCTGTTTTTTGAATGGTGCCAGCATCCGGTTTGCTTAGGCCCAGTGCTTGAAAGTCATGGCAGATCTGATACCGTGGGCGTTGAGCTAAGCTATAGTCATCTGCGGATGTGCGCATTGTCATTGATGGTCACATGGTGGTCTTCTTTTTTGCATGGCCCAGGTCCGAAGCGAACTGCCAAAGGCTTTCCCTAAAGCCAAGAGCATGCACAAGTGCCAACCTCTCAGCATTCAAGCAGATGCCAAGACCAATGATCTTACTGGCTTCAAGGCTATGCAATGAATGGTAACACTCTTGCAGCATGACGCTGTGATCTAGCCTGAACCAATTCATACTTTCGACCTTCGACATTTTAGAATCGATCAATCCTGGTACTGTTAATTTAATTGCTATTTTGATTATTATAGCAGTCCCGGCATGACATTTGGCATTTGAGGGATTCTAGCGCTCTTGGTCTGGCAATCCTGCTTCATCCTTCTGATAGGCTGGCTCTTGGTCAACCGCAGAATGCGAAGCTGCCTTGACAACCACTGGGGTTTACGAAGCGCCAGGGCTAGCGCTTTGGCTTCGCACCAATGCTTTGGGAGTTGGCCCCGATGCGGAGGAAGAGGATGTGAACTGGCAATCGCTCAAGCAGTTTGAGGCAGCATTTTTTTCCAAGAGTGGCAGCTTCAAGACAGGCGTCACCCGCTCAACTGCAGGTGGGAAGAAGCAAAAGATCGAGAAAAGCCGCATGTTTTGGCCCTGCGTGATGGTGTGCGGGATTGAGACAGCAAAGCATGCCCTCCACGATCACTTCGATGCAGCGCTTCCGCTTCTGGGGAGTGGTCAATTTGTTCTGTGGGCCTGGTTCCTTGCCTTGTTCCGAGCACTGCAAGCAGCTGAAGCTTGCCTTAGGTTCAAGTCGGCTGGAGATATTTGCCCGCAGCCTACTATTTTTTTTTTGCACGGTTGAATTACAAAATTTCAGTCAGCTGCTAACTGCTAAGGATAAGGAGTGGTTAGAGATGCTTTGGGAATGCGGCCTTTCCGTCACAGTGCAAGTTCGTATTTGCACCTCCCCCAAAGAATTGGCCCTTGCGCGCCACAACCAGAGTGAAGCCATCAAATCCTTGGGGCATGCAAGCATGAGTGATAGCTTTTCTGCATTCAGCATCCTGATTTGCAAGCTTGGGATCACATCCCAGAAGGCTGGAGAAGACTTAGGACTCCACTTCAACGGGACCTTGTACAATGCTGCCATGCACAAGGCGGCCGTCTCCTTGGCTTCTGTGCTTCGATCCCCTGGTGGCATTGTGGAGAAAGCGCTGAGGAAATTAGAGCTCGAATTTGGAAGAGACATTTTGTCGAATGAATATTCAAAGCTGTCAAAGCTCATTTCAGTTGCCAAGGCAACTGCTTCCAGCAGAATGACTACACCAGAGATGGTGGCTTGGATGATTGAGATGCTCACTTTGGCTTTCCGTTCGAAGATCCGCATGCCCTCAAGAGCAACAGATCAGTGGCTGGACAAGGATCGCAAAACCGGGGCTCTCGGCTTTTGGCCGGTCACTCAGGTCATCTTGCAGGCAAGGAATCCCTTTAATGAAATTGCTAAGTCTTTTGAATTTGTGAACCACCTGAATGAAAGGTAGTTTTTGCGTTGCTTCTTTGCGTGCTGGTATCTTTTTCTTTCAGCCCCTGCAGGTGTTTGACTATGCCCAAAAGCTCATCGACAGCTTGCCAGAGCCAGAGGTTACAAAGTGCAAAGCCATTTTGAGCGATCTACTCTGCCCACAGACCTGCTGGGAGAAATACGTTTATCAGGAGCAGCAAGATGCTCCACTTGGAGAAGATGATTGTGAAGGCAGCTGCGTAGCTGACATTCCCTCAGGCCCCCTGGCGGAAGCGAAGCAAAACTTCAACCGAGCAACTGGTTTGCTGCTGGACCTTTTGCTGAAAGTAGCTCTTGGGAGAGATTTCTTTTCTGAGTGTCAGGAGATTGCAGCCACGCCAGGAGGCTTGTCAAAAGCAATGCAATCAGCAGAAGAGCAAGCTTGCAGTCTGCAGTCCACAGTCCAAGTTCCACGGCTGCTCAAAGAATTGCGAAGCATCACGGTTCAATTTGACGGTCAGTCGAAGAGCGTGTCCGTGTCTGCAGCTGCCCCTCCTCCCAGTTTGCTTATGCACTTGAGCCGAGATGGGGCGGCGGCAGAGTCTGAAGCTGAGCGTGAAACTACATGGAAGAAGGTGCAGGCTGAGCGCAGAAAGTTTGTGACTTTCAGCTACCCACGGACATGGGCAAAAGACCACATCCTCAATGCTTTTCGCTCTTCGGGGAAAGTTTTCAGTTATACTGGCGAGCTGAATAGCGCCCACAGATTGTTTGTTGCGTCAGCCGACCTCCTGCACGAAGAGGGTGATGAGCCGTGGAATGCACCATGCCCTCCAGCAGCCAGCATGTGGAAGGAAATCACCTCATTCATCACCAGCGCCAGCGGCCCAGCAGATTTTGCGATGCTTTTCGATGGCCGCATGCGGGAGATCCGCCGACAGAACGAAGCTTTGATTGAAGCTGTTTTGCTTGGGGTGTAATCACACAAGGCTGAATTGACTTTGCAATGCTTACGACGTATGCGCAATATTTCTGTCTAGGTAGGGTCTTCCTCCTTCAATGCCTTGTCTCCCTGCCTCACTCAGGAAGATAGCATTCTGACTCAGAATCATTCTGGAGAAGGTCACGTGGTTTTTGCTGGTGGATGCCCGCCGCGTGCAGGCAGATCGCGCAAGGTGCCCTTGTCAGCCAAGAAAGTCGAATCCATTGCAATCCTGTGCCCAGTCAGCAGGAGCAAGATCAAGGCGAACAAGAAGGAGCAGTTCACTGCTTGCGGCGAAGAAAGCACCTACCAAGGGACCTATTCTGGAGTATCTTACCGGTCCGGTGCAGAAATCCCTCTCATCTCCCCACTGGAGAAATCCAAGGTTTTGCCTCAGTCCAGAGTCCACAGTATACGGGCCAGCCAGTGCCACCAGATGACTGGGCCGAGCGCAACGGCAGTGACATTCCATTGTTTTGGAGCGAGTCCAAGCCGATCGCATTGTGGGCTGCAGTGATTGATGATTGGAAAGTGGCCACCATCTTCGATTGCAGCCCAGGGAGCGGAGCATTGATGGAAGCTGCAATGACACGCGGTGTCTTCTACCACGGGCTGTGTTTGGTCCTCAGTTCATGACAAGAGCACCTTTTTCAGTAGCTTACTGCTTTTCGCAAATTGTTTTAAATATTTATTTCCCGCTTTGCTTGCCCAAGGCCTGAACAAGGAACACCTTCAATGGCTGCAAGCCGTCGCCGACAGAGCGGCATGTGGTTTGATGGCTTTGGAAGGGTCACCGCTGTTCAGTGAAGAGAATTCCATTGTCAAGAAGCACTTTCCTGATGTGATTGCTGGGCTTGCTGGCGGTCGAGACGACGAGGAAGATGAGCCGATGGAGCCTGCCAGTGAGAATGAAGGCTGCAGCTAGTAGACTTCTTGATTCCCTTGTTTGTTTTTTTAGGCTAGAGGCTATAGATGTTGCTTCAGTCCAAGTCCACAGCGCACAGCTCCAAATTTTGATAAAGCTCGCAGAATGATAGCTGTTTGCCACGGAAAAAAAGCTGCAACCCTTCAGCGCGCAGAAATGATGCTTCCCTGCCCACTTTGCATGGAATCGCCATCTGAAGGGTCATTTGTGTGCAACCAAGGGTCTTGCACAGGAGTTGTTACATTGGCGCATATTGGCATTGCATTCCTTATTCCTTTGCTTGTGTTTTGGAGCTAGTATAGTGGCAGAGTCCATAGTCCACAGCCCACCTTGTCCTTGCAATGGTGCTTGCAGTGCGGCTGAGATGCAAAACAAAAGTGCCAATCACGCAGCCGAAGCGGAACCAACCCAAGAGACAGAGTAAGAGGGCAGCAGCTGTCAAGGCTGGAACTGTTCCAAAGGCAAGGAAGGCATTTGCGCTGTTTGTCATGAACAAAGCAGAGAACAAAGCTGGTGCTCCCAAAGCAACTTTTCAAACGGAGATGAAGCGATTAGGGCAAGCTTGGGCTGCGCTTCCTGCAAACGAGAAAGCCGAGTACCATGCCAAAAGCACAGCAGAGTTTGAAGCCCAGCGTGCAGCTCTCCTGTCCTTGGGCATTGTTACCCGAGGGCCGAAAATGCTTCCTTCAAAAGACCCCACAGAAGATCGACCTGCAGCAGATGCTGCCAAGGTGAGGACTGTTGCCTTGGGGCCATACAAAGTGAACATGGAGCACAAAGATGATGTTCCAGTCCTTGGCAGCGGAAGCTATGGGAAGGTTTTTCTTGCCACAGGTTCGAATGGCCGAAACTGCGCAGTGAAAGTCTTTGGTGGGTACAGGGCACATGTTGAAGCATCCTTTGAGATTGGCATCTATGAGAAGAAGTTGGAGAAATTGGCACATTCCCAGCGGCATTGGTTTCCTTCTCTTTGCCAATCAGACAAGAAAGGGCAGCCTTGGCCATACTTAGCCATGTCCTTTGGAGGCAAGAGCTTGTTAGAGCACTTGCGAATGAATGGGCCTTTGAAGTCACAGCTGGCGCATTCACTGGCTGTGCAGCTGCAAACAGCCTTGCAGGTGTTGCATAAAACAGCTGGCCTTCTTCACTTAGATGTCAAGCCTGGAAATATCCTATGGTGTGATGAGCTTGCCTCGCTTCAGCTTTGCGATTTTGGCATGGTGGAGCCGAACCCGTGTGCCTACAGACAGTCCGCAGCCCGCACTCTGCCTCTGCCTCGTTTCATGGAGTATGTCACCACTTGGTATAGAGCTCCTGAACTTTGGGATGCAAAAGGGCAAGCAGCGTCACTGCAGGCTTTGCTGACGCCTGCCATCGATATGTGGAGCTATGGCTGCGTGGTCTTCGAGGCATTTTGTGGCCAGGCGTTGATGAAAGCCCTGGATCATCGCCGTTCCCTAAAGAACACTCTTGCAGAATGGTGTAAAGGCTATCCTGAGCTTGTTGCCCGAAAAATGCTTCGATCCCAATACTCTTCAAGTATCATTGCACACTGGGCAGTCAATTTGCAGACATGCAGCAGCTTGAAAGCCGTAGTCCTGTGTGCATGCGCGCCAAACGCAAAATCAAGGACTTGGACGTAAACTAGCCTCCAGTCCATAGCCATATATATGTAATTTTCATTTTGGTGCTACAAGCCTTGAAATTTCAGGCGGCTTGTATTTGATTGGGGTTGCTGCTGGACATAAAAGCAGCAGATTTCCTGCAGACAGACCAGCTAGGGTTAGTAGCTGTCCATTGGGAAGAGCAAACGCAGACCTTGAAAGGCAGGGAAAAAAACAGGCCGCAGCCGCAGACATTGAATCGTAAATAATATTTCAAGAAGCAATCATTGACCTTCTTGTGAAGCACTCGTTTTATCACATCGTCCCCTGCACAGGCGTCGCAAAGAAACAGCAATGCGCGGGCAAGCAGCACTATGTGCAGCGCAAGACAAAAAAGCGTTTTTCAGTGGAAATCCTTGGGAATGCTTAATATTTTTCGGGACCGTTGAAATCTCCACCCAGATTATATATGTAATTGCTGCATATGCGGCCTATTTATGGAACGGGTGTCCTTTCAAGGGAAATTTATTCGTGAAAGTACGGGATTCTATCCGGGCGGCGCTTTCATGGCTAGAGTGAGGCAGCGCTTCGACATGACGAAAGCAGGGTATACCTTAATAGACGTGCTGGCAGTTGCACCATTGCCCATTCGAGCGGCTACAGGTGCGCAGAAATTTCCAGGGTGTGTCCTGTGTGGTTGAAACCGCGCAGGCGTTGTTGTACCCCCAAGATCATCCCAACACAATCCTTGTGGATAGATCCCCCAATTCAGGAGGCCTGGATGGCGAATGGATTTGGGTCACCAAACTTTCGGACCTTTTTGGGGCCCATTTGGATGGCATCTGGGAGGCTTTGTCATACCCACTTTGGCTGAAGAGCCCTTCTCGCACTATACCTTGGTTTGTGCCTTCCTTTGCAAAAACTGGGCCGGCTGATGTCAGTGCTTTTGGTGGTAGAATGAGGCTACTTCGGGTACATCATCGGCATTCGCATGCCTCGGTTTTTTTCTCAGGGAGAAGTCAAAAGTCCGTAACCCGAAATTGAACACCTTCACATCGCAAGAATTTGGTATCTGATACGTGCATGTAGCATAGGTACCGGTCAAGTCACTGAGTTTGACAAAATACTGAGCCAATCAACACATGATTGATCTATTTGTGGTTCCTTGGGTTTTGGACCATCTTGGACCATCTTGGACCATCTTGGACCATCTTGGACCCAAATGAATTGCCTTCATCACCCCAAGTTTCACCAAGAAGTACTCAAACCAACAATCTGTCCAGTTTGGCGGGACCCAAACAACAAAAGATCTCACCAGGAAATACCAGGCAGATCGGGGCAGATCACAGTCCTGATGCAACTCGGATAGCTATGACTTCTCAAAGATGTGTTTTTTCTTTGCAATTCCTTGGAGTGGAACCATGTGGATCATGTGGAACCTTAATAACTTGATCTTTGAATCTAGATATAGATGATATATGATGATAAAGTAACCCGAAAAAAGATAGGGGCACCAAAAGCATCCAAAAACCCAGTTGCGACCCCCTCGAGGTCTAGTCCCAATGCTGCGGCTCCTAAAGCTCATTCGTCGTTTTGGCCAAATCCAGCTGCTGGCGCATGTCTTCCGGACCACAGGTGGGCGGAAGTTTCGGCGGCGGGCAGCTGGGAGGGCATGGAATCAATGGAAACATGGCAGAAATCCCATTGCCACGTTTGATTAATCGGAGAGCACCCCCAAAATCAAACGTGCGATGGTTAAATGATGGTTAAATGGTCTCTCAAAATTTTCCTCATTAAGAGTGCACTTTTGGGATGTCCTTGGATAACCACACTTCTGGACAAACCTGTTATATAGTTGTAAGGAGTTGTTCAATCATGCTGCATTCAACCATGGCGTATTCATGCTTCATGAGGAGGATCAGATGCACAAGCGAATACTTTCCGGGAATCAGGCGTGGCAAGAATTGTCCATTACCACGTTTTATTACCTGAGGGAATAATAGGGTGTGTGCGTGTATAGTACATGTATGTATATATGATTATAAATATATGTAACATGTATGTAGTTATAGATGTTATAGATATATGCACATACTTCGACGTAGCCCAGGTGACGCACTGAAGTTCCTTCTCTTTTTGGTGTCCATCATCGTCTTATTGTCAGAGCCTCAGATCTTTCCAGGATTCGCTAGATTAAACTGTGAATTTGGGAGCCAGGATGTTTTCCTAAGAAACTAGTGGGATATATATATATATATAGTTTTTATAATGAAATTTTAATGGGATATATAATGGATTTTGGCGCCATTTATGTAGGCCGTCTATATGTGTCATTAGCGGCGTTGACGTGTTCAGCGTGTTCCGCTCAACTGTTGGAATCCCATGGCTCTTGCCATTTCTCTGGGAACAAAAGAACCACTGGAAAAAAAGCACCGTTTGAAAAGCGGACATTGATTTTATCTGATTTTATCTGCTACATGAACATGGATTTTATCTGATTTTATCTGATTTTATCTGATTTGAAAAGCAAACAATCAAGAAAATTTGTCCAACTTTATCTGATTTTATCTGCTACATGACATTCACCCAGCAAGTAGGGCTTGTCCAGAAGTAGGGCAGCAAACGGTGTGGGAAGAGGACATGAACATGGATGGACATGGATCATTTTTTGTGAGGCACGCCCGAATTTCAGACAAACAGACGAGGTGGCGTCCCCACCTAGATACGTTTGCTGGTTGATAAATCTCATCTATAGATACTATAGATCTACATTGATCTACCATAGACTCACCCAATGATTGCAGGTTCTCAATTCAACTTAGAAACGGGGCCCTTTTTTTAGGTTCTCCACCTTGCTCTACATTCTGGAACCCACCGAAAACGTGGACTCCATGTTCACGGCCATGTGGGTCAGCACGGTGACGGTCACCACGGTCGGCTACGGGGATATAACCCCCATCACTTTGTCGGGAAATATGCGCCCTGGCCGCCCCTGTTGTTGTCAGTTTCGGAGAGGTTTTGAGAGGTGGATTTTTTATGATTTTTTGGGTCAACTGACCTGGGTGACTCCAAGATTCCAAATTTGGTCACATTGTTTAGAAGTCTTTAAAGCGGAAAGATGTGGAAACCAAATGAAACCAATAGAATATATAGAAACCAGCGACTCTGGATAAATTTGGAGCACCCCAAGGGTCCGAAACACCTGCATGCTTGGTGGTGAAGAAATGGCTGTCATGCCAAGTTGACCCATTTAATTACTGTAATTTCGCTGGCATCTCGCTGGTACTGGCTAGATGGAAAATCCTCACAAGTTCATCTAAAGGTGGTTTTCCTGTAACACTGGTGAGATTTTGCATTGCCATTTTTCATTAGCCGAGGGTAGGTGATGCTTGTGGATTGGCGTTTCTCCTCCCATCATTGCCCTTTGTGTTGATTCAAATTCCCACAAGAGATCCTTGCAGAGACCCTAGTTTGTTCATGTTTGTTCCAAGTGGAGCTGTGAATTCTTACCTTGATTGACTAGTTACTAGTCACCCACCGCGATGGGATGATTTCTTGGGTGTGGACAATGTTGGTTGGAAAAGATGGTGGTTTCCACTCCCTGCATTTCCAGGAAATCTGGCATTGCTAACATCGCAAATTATCATGGCCATGCAATGGAATTTCATCATTTATAGATGTCTGGCACATTCCCATGTTCCCATGGCCATGATTAGCGATGGGTCATGCTGCTTGGGTCTGTGTTTTTCCAGCAAGCTACTTTAGTTTCAATGCCGTACCAGTAGGTTCGGGTTCATTTTCCCACATGTCCGAATGTTCACCACATGCAATAAGAACTAACTAATCCATGGGCCAAGTTGAAGCCGCTGCATCACAAACTTCAATGCTTCAGATTTTAAGAAAAAACTCGACAGGCGGAAAGCCAAGAAAAATGGACATGTGACAATAGTCAGACACATGGTTTTCTTATATGTTTTCTTGAGATTTCCCTTGAAAATCACCGTCAGAATATGCCAGAACCAAGGCTCATGGGAGGTTTGTGCTTTTTCAGTTCGCTATTTATGGCCATGCCCATCAGCGTCCTTGGGAATGCCATGTCCCATGCTTGGACGGACCCACGGCACGGGAAACCCCATGGGGTCCATGGGGTGCAAGGACGTTTGAAAATTGGGCAATATCAACCCAGGATTACTGTAAAAAAACACGATATTTATACTTTATGATCTTTATGTAAAGGGATTATAAAGGGAACTTTCACTATTTTGGGTGGGTACCATCATGCTAATAGGCTTAGGGTTTAATAAAAATCGGGGTTAACATTCTTCTCCCACATGGCCAGACCAATCCAGTTTTACAATGCAGGACACAGACAGCGGCTGAAAATCCTGAAAAAATTATCTATCTATATACAACTAAGGTTTTTCGCGGCCCGCTATGTTAGATGGCCATTTATTTGTTTCGGGGAAACTGAAGGTTTGGAGATGGTCAAGATCCACCAATGGGGACCCAAAAAGCAAACGTTTTTCTTTGTATTTTCCGTTTTTTCCGTTTTTTCCGGTTGCCGAGTAACATTATTGAACATGTTACAAACAACATGAAACAACCGTGTGTGTGTGTGTTTTTAGTTTTTTTCACAAACATGTTTCAATTTTCTCGGTCATGTATTCTCTTCCCCACGTCCCGGGGGTTTTCTCTACCCCCCATGACTTTGATAGTTGAAGCAGGGCAAGCCTCATTTGCCGCAAGACATTTAAGACACCAAAACGCACATCAGAAAGCACTCAAACATTTATGCAAAACCAATTTGCAACATCACGTGAAGATCGTTTCCTACAGGGCAAGTTGCAATCAGCAAGCCACAGAAGTTGAAGTATATCATCTGGGACCAGCCCGTGGTCCTAATGAGGAAATTTGAGGAAAATATTTGACCCATAAGAATTGGACATGTCAACCGATTCATTGATTGTTGCATCCGCATTTGTTGTTGACAAAATCTGGAATTCTCCAAGCAGGACTGCAGGATTAAGAATCGCTTGCTGTTTAATTGGGAGTGGCCATTTTGATAGCAGATGACATCACTATCTGGAGAAAAAAACCTAATTAATCAATGAACCAGGGATTCTTACTCCGGGGTTGACATTATTCACTTTGCTATGCAGGATCCAGATTCTTCCAATCATTAAACATCTTTCTGTAAACAATTCATCAATTCTTGGTGTGGCTATCAAAGATTTAATCCCAAGCATGAACGCGGGCTACCATGGGCTACCTACCTCCCTACCTCCCTACCTCCCTCCCCATCTACCCTCTGGTAAACTAACATAACTATGGAAAATCATCATTTTCAATGGGAAAATCCACTATAAATAGCCATTTTCAATAGCTATGTTAGTCATAACCAGAGGGTACCCATCACCCAGGATCGGAATCGCATCTTGCTCATGGCCCGCACGCGGCAGCGCCTGAAACGCCATGGCTTCACTGCGGAAGATCTGCCCAGGCTCTTCCGACAATATGCACCTTGTCACGGCTGACATTAATATATCATATATAAATCAAATTCAATCGATAATATATGCATGATTATGCATACATACATAGATACATAGATACATAGATACATAGATACATACATATATACATATATATACACTTTTATAATATGCCCAATATCTTTGTACATATTTTGTACGAAAACGGGGATATCATGGGGATGCAATGGGACACAGTATGATGGGATACATGTCACTGGGGCGGATCCTCCCCAAGTTGGCTTACCCGGAATCAAGCATGGCCCAGGTCCTCAGGAAACGCTGCCAGCATGGCATCAGTAACTAAATGTTGGCAGGCATGGTGAATCAGACGGAAAAAACAATAAATAAATAAATAAATAAATAAATATATATATATACACACACTGTACCTTCAGCTTTGTGATCGATGATCATTTGCCCAGATGTGTTTCTTAAAGCAATCGAACGAATCTAGCTGCATTTTGGTTTTCAGTCTTCTAAATTATCCCGCGCCGTCTGTCCCATCTGTCCCAGCCATGTGCCGAGGACGGGAATCAAACAGGCGACCTGACCATGGACGAGTTCTGTGATATGATTGTCAAGATGAAGGCCCACGGGCATAGCAATAGATCCGGCTGTCAAGTCACCCCAGATGTCAGGAAAATTGGTTTATTGTGCCTTCCTTCAGCCCAATAAACATCATCCAAAAATGAGTTTGATAGTTTGGAAGATGCTTTTTTATCGGAAAATGATTTGCCCTACAACTAACATAGACCCCTAAAATTTGGATGCTTTCATTTACTTCCAGGATCAAACTGTGAATTTACTGGACGGTATCCTGCAACTACCCAATGATTATCCCCATTATCATCCCAACATTAACAAGTGAATAAGAAGTGAAAGATGGATGGTCCACTATGGTCCACTTATATCCATTGATCCCACTATTTCAATTTGGGGGATGGTCACTGGCGTTTTTCCACTTCTCAGCCTTCTGTTTCTCGAAAGCCTCCAGCATTTGGCGATGGGCCCAGCTATAAACGTTAAAAGCCACATAAACCACCTACTGAACACCACACTTGCTGGTGAACTAATTGAATACGGCTAAAATGGAGAAAAAGACTCCTCTTGGCTCCCCCAGTTCTCATCCTTCGTGCTGGTGGTCGCAGGTTGGAATGGGACCAAGGGAGGCGGAAGAGTTGTTCGAGCTCTTTGACATGGACGGCAGCGGCGGTATTGATGACAAAGAGTTTATGAAGGTGCCGAGCCCTCCTAGCCCTGGGGACTCCGGGGCCAAGGCCAACTGGATGCCTGACATACTTAGCGCTAATTTCTTACATATAAATTACATGTATATATATATATATACATAATACATATAATGAATTCTAAACATAAAGGAAAATGGATGGGCATGGATGACAATGGATAACCATTGCCATTTTAAGTCAATGTTTTACTGTTTTACCTTTAAACATCAATGATTGTCCATATTGTCCATAGCTATTTTAAATTTCCAAGGGGGTAGATACTTAGCCTCTCCACGTGTTTGTTCGGATTTCTCATAGTATCCCAGGTGCACCCGGAAATTTTGGGAGATAACCGTGTGGGCACGTTGGTGCTTCATTCTTGAGCCATGGCCAATTTTGGGAATTAGTCAAAAAATGGTCCAATAGCTGTGGAACCACTGTGTTGGATGATGTCTTTCATGGCCCATGGCCCATGGATTTGGATGATTTGTCAGCCACAAAACACAAGCGCGATTTAAGACTGTTTACATCTGTTTACCATATAAAGAGCCGCCCAATTTTTGGAGTATTGACCCATGCGCAAAACCAAATCAGAGGATTCGGACTCAGCCGGCCGGCGTCCTGGGATGACGTAGGTAGATGTAGTAATCCGATTCCCGGAATCCAAACGATCCCCAGTTATTTCCAATTCATAAAGAGATCCAAATACATTCCACCAGGTTTTCGTTTGGGAAGATAGCGGCAACCGACGTTCTCTGTGGGTTGTTGGGCTTGATACATTGGCCCATTGGCAGGTGCTCTTCCCAGATGACTATCGCCGAATCTTTTTGCGGTCAGAGAGCATGAAGAGAATCACCACTGGTGACGCCAGTAAGTCACTAGGTGCGAGCTGGGCGGGCAGATGGTGGAGGTTTCAAGCAGCTCATGGCTAAACAGGCAGAACCCCCTGCGCAAAAGCATAATATGTGTATATATATATTACATATATATATGATTATATATATGATTATAAAATATAGATGCTGATTGATGCTGGCATAATAATATAATTAAAAATAGAAAGGGCTTTGCAAAGATGACGGAATATGGTCAAGAACAACAAATCTAAAGAATTGACATGTAAGTGTGTCTGAAATAGTTATGTTACCCTGTTGCAACGGTTCCAATGACAGGGTTGACAGGAACCTAACGCTGAAGCCGAACTGAAGTCAGTCAAGCTGACACTTGGCGCAGAGCCTGCTGCTGAAAATGGGTAAGGATGAAAATGGATGAACGATCTTAATCAGTCAAAACTAAATCCTGGTATCCACCTTAGCCAGCAGAATCCCAATCTCATCCCATAAACGTGATCATGGTGACCGACATGGTTGGATGTGATCGGCACTTTGAGTTGGGTAAGCTCCCGAGCCCGAACTATTAAGGACAGACCACTAGGACAGACCACTAGGACAGACCACTAGGACAGACCACTAGGACAGACCACTAGGACAGACCACTAGGACAGACCACTGGGGACTATACATATTCTCGGTGATATTCTGGGTATGGACAGGTTGAACGAAGTGATTCCAATGCGAAGTTATAAAGGGATACAGGCCCCCAGAATAGAAATATATAAAACACATATGACATCATGACCATCTGCCAAAAATAGTTGACAGAAGTTTTGTACTAGTTGTTGATAATTAGTGTGGACCTAGTGGTTTTTCCTCTTCGTTATGAGGCGGCACGCAATAAGTTTTAAAGAGCAAACAAGAAGCGGTTATCAACCAAACCAGGAACAGCCATTTTGGCAAACCGTCATATGCACAAATAACTACAATGTAGGATGGGTAAGATTAAAATAATGATGGATAATAATGATAAAGATAGGATAGACGAGATAGGTAAAGAGATAAAGCTAGACAAGATAGATAAAGATAGACAAATATAGCTAAAGAAAGCAGGTGGATAGATAGATAAATAAGATAGATAGACGATAGATAGACAATAGATAAACGATAGATAGATGATAGATAGATGATAGATAGACGATAGATAGATACCGTAGGTAGGTGGGTGGGTAGGTGGGAAGGTACATAGATAGATAAAGACATATAGACAATGATAGACAATGATAGACAATTATAGACAGAGAGATTCAGATTTATAATATTTTCTAGAATGCACAATGTCCGGGCTGGACATCATCTTCTGAGCCTTTCTGAGTGTGCCATTCATCTCTTGTGTTTTCGCGGCCATCGTATTTGTTTTCCGGTCGCCTTTCATTCGACTGGGGTAAGGGATGGTAAGGGCAGCCAACCTGGTGCATCACCAGGCAGTACATACACTGGCCTCAATGTAGCATTGATTTTGGTAACTTGATTCACACGGGTTTTTCTACGCACACCCCGTGGTGACCGTTGTTTCTGACATCCGGGTTTGTCCAAAAACAGCATCATGCTTCATCATGCTTCATCATAAAATTTGGGCCACGTAGCCCCATCTGAGCAGTATTCAAAAGCCCGGTTGTTGGCTGATAATACTTAAATGGGGATTATATTAATAATATTTAATAATGTTGATTGGGTTGATATTCACATACCATTAACATTAATATTCCCCTATATGGTTGATTAAACCCATAGCAATATTCATGTTAATGGTCTCAAAAAGGGGATTATACTCACTCATATCTGGGATGATCCTCATCATCCATCAATATCCATCATGGGAATCCCCCATTATATCAACGGTTAGCAGTAGCGCACGGGATGACCAAGTCAGGTTGAGCAAAGCCAATGTATAACCCAATAAGTAGATAAACATATTATACATACATATTGCAGGGGTTGGTTTGCCTGTCCCATTTTGGGAATATTGGACATCACCTGAAAAAGTAGCCATTATAGACCATATACCTAATGGTTGGGTGATGTTCAATGGGGACATTTAATGACCCATGTATTGTTGATCATGTTCCCTTTATCTCCCAGTTAATCCTTAGCATATCCCCATCGTATCCCACTATTTTTGGCTGCTGAACACTGCTGACGAGGACCTCAGTGACGCATCGCAGAACCTGAGTCGATGGCATCGCGGAACGTGGATCAACGGCAGCGGCAGAGTGGCAATGTTGAGACCGGTGCCAGCTGATGGCGGTATATTATAGATATGCCGTCATTTTTCGGAACGTATGTTGTTGATTCAAACCATATTCAAACCATTTGAGATGAAAGTGAGCAGTTGAAACATCAAAAAATGTACAATGATTATATAATCAAAATCTGGGGGTCTCACTAGCCAAAATGTTTCTAAGTCAACCTTTTTGTCTCGGGATGCTAGTCCTCTTCCCTGGGTGATTTTGTTGTACTTTAGGGTTTGCTGTCTGAAGCTTGGAGTCTGGACTTAGAAGCTTGGACTTCAAAACCCTTTGATGCTGCCCTTACGGATCGTGATGTGCCCAGTGTCCAACGAGATAAGATTTTGGGATGTTGCCATGGTGACCCCCTGGCTGTGCTGCTCGATGGTCTCAATGCTGCCGTGCTAGCCGCCAATAAACGCCCGCAGAATCCCGGCGATGCTGAGTGAAGCATTCAGGATACAGCCGGGCAGGTTAACAGCAACATGAACCATGGATAACTCCACATGGCTCTTTCGCCAACTGCTCGGAAAGCTTAAATCATGGACCATGATGAGAAAAGTTGCTGGCATTTTCCTGGCTACAAATCTTTGCATTGGCATTGGATGAGGCTGAAAAGGAGAACCTTTTAGAGAATGAGCCTGAAAATCAATGCATGAAATAGTATGAGATAGTCATGCACTAATTACATCCATTTGCATGGCTTAGATTACTAGAAGGGCATGATACGGTTTACACCTTTGGATTCATACTCCCTGGGCTGTTGATCGTTTGCTGGGGTGCCATTTTAGTGGCCGATTGCAACAGGTTTTCGCTTTTTGGGCGTAAACTCGCAAATGAATTGACATGATACTACGCCTCCTTTGTGCTAAATGATAGGATTTCCATTTGGCAATCTGGCTTCTGCCATTGCTTGTCCATGCCTCACCCTTGTAACGATCTGAGCCCAAGTTGCTGGATCAAGTGTTGGTCGGAATGCACGACGATGACCGTGAGATTTGCGCATCTTTGATGCCCTTCCAAAAGCAAGCTGGAGGATATTGTTTTTTTTTTTCTCCCTCAAAGGTCCATAGTCATTGTCTGTCAGACCCAGGAATTTATGCAAAGATGTACAGTATGCACAACTCCATATATGTATATATATATAAATATAACTGCATATATATATATATATAACTGTATATATATATATATTTATATATATATATATACGCGTGTGTGTGTGTGTCTGTGTATAAATATGTGTATGTAGGTAAATTAGCATTGGGCACTTGCAGGACAAACAGGGGACGAATGACCATTTTGCAAAAGAACCGGCTTGCGTAAGGACGAGGGTTAATAAATTGATCACCAAGGCGAGGTGCGTTTTTTTTGCAGCTGATTGTCGCGACATACGGCACGTGAAACGTTGCGTGTCGCCACGTAAGATGCTGCATTTTTTGCTCCCAAAGCTGCGGAATGTCAACAGATCATCTGTCATTGGGCTTCAGCCGTTTAACGAACGGCTACAACTGCCCACGACCTGGCAAAACAAATATCCCGTAATTACATGTAATTACCTTGATTTTCATGCAGCGGCGGTTTCACTACTCACTGCCCGTTCAGTGCAATGTCAACATCTACAGAGAAGTCTCCGCAGAAAAATGTGTTGAATGCCACCGATGCAGAAACCTTGGTGGGGCTCTCCGAAAGTGACCGTTTGATTTCAAGAGTGATCTTGAAGCGGCACTTTTTGAAATCTTAGCATGTCGTTTTGCACCCTCACCCAATGAGCATGAACAGCCCTCAAGTTGAATATAGTTGAACTGGGAAGTTGTATAATTTAGTATGTTTGCCAGCTGGACATGAATTCTGACAGCTCCCTGCATCTCTCATCAGTGAGGACATGCACAATCTATTCTGGCCCCCTTGATTCTGCTTGGGGAAGTTTTATCTCAAGGCATCTCAAGGCATTCAGAGGTGCAAGAATCGCCCATGTCCATTTCTACCTGGAGCCCCATTTGTATCATGTTTTTTGTTCGGGGTTCGATTCTGAAATTCCTACTCGACCGCATGTGCTCAAGTTCAAAGTGTTCGAGTTTCTGATTTTTATGCATAGCAAGTGAGCTGGAAGACAATTGCCAGGTACGGTGACCAAGTGATCCAAATTCCATCAATTTACATCAATTTACAATGAACAAGGAAAAAGTGATAGGCCCAAAATTATCAAACTAACGTTTTTTCAATTTGCGGCCGTTTGCGGAAATTTGCGATCGTTTTGTGGTTTTTTGCGCTCGTTTTGCGGGGTGCAATTTCTACGGCTTAGACCAAAAAAAAGAAAAACATTTTTGGCCCGAGCCACCTTGGTTGAGTCAAGATTAGCCCAAATAGCTTTGCAGGGGCCATGCACCATGCAAAACTGGAAAACATATGCGATTTCTGAAGATTTGTGCGTTTGGCATGTTCTAGGAATTTGAGATCGTTGTTCGAAATGTGGTACGATTTGCAAATGCACAAAAAAATGCTACGAACGAGGCTACAGGTAACTAGATGATTTCACCCCACTGAGAATTGATAAGAATTGAATTCCCTCCCCCTTTTCAAAACACACCCCAATCAAAACCCTGTTTGACTGTATTGAATCTACTTATCTATAGGGGCCCTTAAAATTGTGCGTGCTTCATACGTTGAGTAGGATGGAGTAGTAATATACCCCACTTTAGGCCCCGCCCCCAGCCCGCAGCCAATAGGTACTGCAATGCCATGCTGTATGACCCCGAGATGAGCCAAGTTCGAAGCCCCGCAGCTTTCGCCGAGTGACTCGGGGAGACGGCGGGATGGCCGGGATGGAGCTGCGGGATGGAGATCACCAACTGAAACATGGAACCAGGATTTTTATGGGGTTTCTAGGGGGGTTGGAAGATGATATCCAAAATTTTTCTACATTGACCTATTGAATATATTGAATATGGCAACTTTTTGTTGGTTCCATGTGAACTTTGCAGGGTGTGAATGGGGATCATGCAGAGATAAGCAGCCAAAAGTTTGCTTTCTGGCTGGGGGTTTCACGGATTCTTCATGTCCAATCCGTCTATGGTACCTGGAGCTATGGCCACCATTGACGGCATTTTTTTGGGTTGAAACTAGCACCACATCCGAACAGTGATCACGATTGAAACAACCAAGAATGTCCTTTTCTGATCAAAGACTTCGACACATTCAGATCTTGTCACAGGAGAATTACAGTTCTGGGTCAACCTTGGGTAGATAATTACTTTGACAAAACTTTGATCTTTTGCTATCAATTGTAAACCAGCTAGTATCAAAGAGTCACCATGAGTTTGGGGCTGAACGACAAAAGACACCTTTGTTCCAGCCACACCGTGGCCACACCCATCCATTTTTCAGCGGGAGTTTCTCCCAGCACTGAGGCTGGGTCGAGTGGCATATGCAGCTGCTCCGCAGTCCTAAAAAGGACCCAAAATATCAGCCCCTGCTGGTGCTCTTTCGTGGGTGGTTTCAGCGTGAATATCGGCAGAATTTAGGGTTTCAGTTTTTTGTGGAGGTGATTTGTCCAAAATCCCTGCTACAGGCATGATGGACCCAAGATTGATTGATTTTTTGGATGGATCCATTGGAAGAATTGAAAACAGGCCGCAGTGGTTGCTGGCAAAGGCAAAACACTCACAGGCTACAGGCGACATTCTAGCAGAAAGATCAGAACCACCTTGAATGACTCAAATTCTTGTTAGTGCGCTTTTGTCTACAGTGAAGGCTCTAGCAATGGCATGAATAAGGCATGATCAAAGATCAAAGTGGCCAGACAGAAGCTCCCTCAAAACAACAGGCACTTAGTGTAAGCATGACATTTTTGTCACCGGCGGAGTATCTCATAGTGACCATGGCCGTAACACAGAGTCCAGCAAAGCCCAAGGCCTCGGGAGGTTTTGTGCCGCAGCTGCTCCTTCTGTGGTTTGTGAGATGAAGATATGATCATCGTATATCATCCCAGTATATCACTTCAGTCGGTATTGGTAGTCTCAGTTTGTGGTCTACGTCTTCTTGTCTGTGGCTCAAAGGGCAAGGAGGCAGGAAGCAGGTAAGATGATGCCCCAACTCTATCCAACTCTTGGTTCATCCCTCGCTCCGTGACCAGGAAATCCCAGTGTGCATTTTTGCTACCTTTCCCAAAGTGAGTTGGCATACCACTCATAGCTATTCATAGCTGATATGGAGCCATCAAAGGAACAACTCACAACATGAAATAGTAGCAATTAAACACTTGAACAACCATGATCAACACTTAGTCAATCCTTTAAAAAAAACGAAAGAAAGCACAGGCTCCAGCCCGTAGATCCCGCCATGGAGGAGGTCCTATGGCAGGTGGCCCCTGATGCTGGGGTCGTCGCTTCGGCCAGCTTCATGGGTGGCTCCTTCACCAAGGTCTTGGACTCTCTAGGCGCCCATGGCAGCTGGTGGAACCAACAGTTAATAAATCACCAAAAATCGCGGTAGAATGAGACTAGAATGGAATATCAATCCGTTTTTTTTTGAAATGGGAATGTGCTGGGATTTCAGATGATTTAGGAATTTAAGAAATGCAAGTTGGGATTTATGGATTTAACATGATTTAACATGATTTAAGCAAAAACATAGTGGAATAACCGGGGATATAACCCAGTTGTAACCCCTTCCCCCAATATTAAATGCCAATTGAGATGGACTAGAAAATTCCAACATCCAGGAGTATAGTATAATGACAAACATGCACGCAGACGCTGCGAATGATATGGAAAATTGTTTGGGGTTATGGGGGTGTAATTGAAGCGAAGGTTAGAGTAAACCTTGCCAGCCTTGAATTTCAGCATTCAACTTTTGGGGTTCCCAAGGTTGAGTGGTTAGATGAGAGAAAATGCAATTTGGATGGGGTGCATCTTTACTTTGGACCTGCAAACTCATCACTGGGTACACGCTGGATTGTCCATGATTATCCAGTCATGCATAGTTATACTATATAACTATAAATATATATATATATAACCAATGTTAACTATATCAAAGTTCCCATGCTTCCCAGATCTATAGTTGAAGTTACCTAACCATAGTCAACTAGTTAACTATATGGTTAACTATATAGTTAAGTATCTTTACATCAATGTTACACCATAACTCTAGGAAAACTTTCTGGTTCCCCTATGGTTCCTCCCATGGCACCCCAGGTGCTGCCGCCTTCGCCGGCGGCGGCTTTGCGGCGGGCGCCGTCTCGGCGGCCACCGGCGCGCTGGCGGCCAAGGCGGTGAGTGATCGCAGCGAGCGGCGGGCCATTGAAGAACGCCTGGCGGAGGTGAAACGCGACTTGGAAGGACTTGGATTTGGGAAGATGGGAATATGTGAACTAAGATATAATCATTATAGTTCCCATATGGATAATCATAATCATTATATGTCCATAATCATTATAGTTCCACTTGGAAGGACTTAATATGGAAATACCATGTGAAACTATAATGACTATGGAAATATGTGAAAATATATGATTATAATATGGAAGAATAATATGGAATCCAATATAGGATTATTTTTCCATATATTATATTTACCATATGTGAAGATGGGAAGATAATATGGAAATACCATGTGGAACTATAATGATTATGGACATATGTGAACATATATGGAAAAATAATGGAAATAAGGTATAACATATATATCATTAGTAGCTATTCTGATTCTGGAAAGTTAATGATAACTAGTGGACACACACATAATGTGTATACATATATATATATATACATAATTAATTATATATATAATTGTATATAACTGAAAATTAATTGGAGAACAATAAGTTTGTTGAGACATCAGTAACTTTGATCTGGTCAGGGACGGGGGATGGGAAATTCAGGTGGTGTTGACATTCAGGGATGTGAGAAACCGCAGCGGGCGGGGTTCGGTTTGTTGGTTAGCTCCATGAGGATCCAGTAGGTATAGAGATATTCTTAGCTACAGGATCTTTGGAGTTTTTTGCTAATTTTACGGGATAGGTTTGGGGACTGGGTTTATGGGTAAGATGGGTAAGGTGGTGTCACCATTTGCGGCAGATGTTTGTTGCTTTAATAAGCCTCAGAAACATCATAAACTATAAATACACCCTAGTCCTTGGATCATTCTGGGAAAACGATAAGTCTTTCTTGACATATACGATGATACGATGGGATGTGGGATGATACGATGATACCATATGATATCATATTAGTTATATCATATTGTAAAGCAAACTCCAGTGTGACTTTTGTGGAGAGAATCTATTTGTCTATAAACCCAATAACCACCAAAAGTAGGGCTCGATATCATGGGAGATCATGGGATGTTTCATGGATTGCTAGTAAGGGTACTCATGCCAATGCGGAGGTATGTGGGTACTGTTGCAACTAATATTGGGATATACCTAAGATATATCTTTGTGTATCTATATGTGTGTCTTATAGTCGAATTTTCAGATTATTTTATACAGAGTTCTTGGCCTCATCCGTTTTATGAGCATACAATAGAGATATTTCATGGGATGTTGATACTGTAACAACCCAAGCAATGGTGCGGAGAACATGGCATAACCACCAAAATTGATATATAATTAGTTATGTTGCGTTAATTAACTATATATAAGCGGAGATGTGTTTTTTAATGGTGCTGACATATTATTCCGCCGGTGGCGAGGGTATCACGGGTCATATTATTGCAATAACGAAAACATATTATTCTATATATAATGGGTACTTGATGGTACTAGCATATGCAGTTATTTACATATATAACAATATTTGAAGGATATTTTTGCTGAATTTGGAACAGTCAGAGTCTAACATAAGGTGACACACACACACACAACTTGTCACTTTTTAGTATGCCATTCATTTTTTGGGCCAACGTCCACCTTGGATGTAAAGGGGGTGTGCAGTGATGGATCCTGAAGTTGGCAATTCAACGTGTGCAGGTGTTTGGGAACTATAGCTAAATGCCCGATACTTGGCTACTAGGGGATTACCTCAACCTAAAGGTATCATAGATGGGTTGATTTTTTAACCCCCCAATTGCATTTTTGCTTGCCATGACACTCCACGCTCCAGATGTGGGTGACGGAGATGCCAAGAGCAAACCCATAAATTTATGGATGATTTACCGTCTGGTAAACAAACATAGCTATTGAAAATGGCCATTTATAGCTGATTTACCCATTAAATAATGTGGTTTTCCATAGTTATGTTAGTTTACCAGAGGGTATATAAGGTTGTCAAACAGCTTCGTTTCCTTTTCCATTTTTTCTTTCATCAGACTACCATGTACGGGGGATTTATCACAAGCTGACTATTCTGTAGTCTGCAGTTCGCCAACCATTTCAACCATCTACTGACATCATTTTTTCACACCATCCGTAAAAGTATCCCCAGATCCATAAGAAACACATTCATAAAAGTAGCCCCCCAGATTCATACAAGACCCAACGTTGTCATACGTTGTCCACATGAAAAAACGTCCAGTTTCTCGTTTCGCCTAGGCCATGCACCTCAGAGTTCACCCATCTCGTTGGATCCGCTGCTGGCGCTGCGGCAGATGATCGCCGCCGTGGAGTGGTGCCTGGCCAAGGAGGAACGGAACGCGGGCGGCGTCTCCAGCATGGCTTGGAGCTGCGTGCAGGCAGAGATGGGCCAGAAGCGCCTAGCAGAGGACGGCTGGGCACTTCTGCGGATGCATCCTTTGGATGAAAGATGTCCATTGTCCCATAACTTTACCATGTTTTACGTTTTTTTCGGAGGTTATGAGGTGGTGACACCAGGTGGTGATGGAAAAGAGATTGCAATTTGCTTGGTTCATTTGGTATTTGGTGGCAGGTTGCCAAGCTTGAGCCATGGGAAAGCTGTCTGGAGGTCCAACTCCATTTGATGACCGGGAAAAGGTGGTACTTGGCTGCTGCTGCTGCTGATGATGATGATGATGATGATTGTTTTCAATCAACCATTCCAAAGTCATTGTCTTTGCGATGATAGTCACTTCCAAGATAGTGTCTTGAGATTTCCAGACCAAAATGGCTGGACCCCAGAGGAGAAAGCGATCCAGAAGGAATATCGTCGACATATGGCCAAGTTGAGGCACATGTCAGCACCGACCCCAAAGGCAAATCAGAAGAAGTCCAAGCCGATAAGGAAGCCTTGGCCTGCTAAAGCATTTTGTTTATTTTATCCATGGAAATCCGCCACTAGGGCATTTTTTGTCTATTTCAATGTATTTATATCTGTACGTATCTATATATATATATATCTATATCATTCTATATCCATATAATCTATATCTGTATCTAAATCTAAGTATATATTGTGATTACATATGATATACTGTAATCATGTGTGTACATACTCACTTATATATATATATATATTTACAATATGGCAACCATTTTTGAGGGGCCCAGATCAGCAACTCCAAGGAACTCCAAGAAGGGTGTTGAAGGCAGCGGCACCGCTGTGATCTCAGGTATCTCTGTTCCAGGCAGCAATGAGAGCTATGAGCGGCTCTTCAACCCTCAATGGGGGACGGTCCGAAGCAAACAAGGCCTGGTGGTATCTGGTGGTTCATGCTGTGGAAATCCTGTACCTGACTACATCTGACTACTATTGGTAACTATGAAACATGGTAAATCATGGGATTATAACGGGACCATCTACCAACTGGTGCAGGATTTCGCACCCATCCACAGTATTTTGGATATTTGGGTGTGTCCCCCCTATAGGGTCCCAATAATTCCAATGGAGTATCATCATTTGTTCTCTTAAATGACCATTTGGGGGTATACGGTATACCCCACTTTCAGAAACACCCACCATTTGATATAGCACGTTTGGTGTTTGCATCCGGAAAAAAAACAATGATGATTGAAACCGAGCACATCATACACACATCATACATAGAGGCATAGAGTTCAGATGAGTTCAGAGTTTTGAGCACATATAATTACATCATACACACATCACATCATACTTTAAGCATGATGGAGTTGAGTTTGCAAGAATGTTTGCTTCGCGAGGCATCTGCGCAGCCCTGGCCTATTTAGTGACCCAATTCTTGGAGCTAAAGCGATCTTCCAAAGGCGTCTTACAGGATGGCTCTAGGCTCTCCCTGCGCTTGGCAGTCTCATCCCTGGCACGGCATCATGCCTTTGACGAGCCGGAGATGCCCAAGAATGAGGAGGTGACAACAGCACGAGTTGGTGTCAAAGTGTGTCAAAGATATGTTGTCTCATGTTGTCTCTATTTGTTGGCCATGTGTTTCGAACATGTTTCAAAGATTCGTCATGTCCCATTGGTGATTTGAAATGCTGTTTATGCATTCATTGGGGATTTTAGACTCTAATTTTCCGCTCCTGCTTTGGACGATAATGCCCCCTTCACTTTCACATGTTTATCAGTTTATCATTGACACATTGAAAGCCAGGTGACTTTGCCCCTTCTTCAGCCCGAAGATGAAGACGAAAACCATGTTTTCCGGGGCAACGACTCGGTGGAATTTCGCTCCGCCGCCTTGGCTTTGCTATGTCTGTTGGATGCAGCGCTCTCGTGGCGCCCTGCTGATCCCCTGGGTTGGATGGGGCAAGCAGAGGACGCGGAGGGTGCTGTCTTGGCGCGGGAGAAGGGGATGTGCTCCTTCTCCTTCTTCGCCGGCAAGTTGCGCAAAGCTCTGAAAAAGGCCAGCGCAGGCGTGGGGCTGAAAAAATAAGATGTTAGAACCATGGGGGAGGGCTCGCAAACGCTTCAAGTATCTTCAAGTTGTTTCAAGATTATAGAAACATATAGAAACATAATGCTTCACTTCACCATAAACTCAACCCACTGATTATAAATCCACGTTTCTCGTCTTTGAAAGTACTTCCATGAACTCGACATTTTCATGAGCTCTTGAAGACCCAGTCACCCAACAAAAAAGGATCTTCAGTGACACATCCAGTGTGCCCACCCCATTTTTTCATATTTTTTCCATAGTTGTTATGACATCGTTTGTCTGGAGGTGCAGAATAATAATTAACCCAGGCTCACAAGTCTCCTGACTGTGGTTGACTCCTAATCCCTGTTGAAAGGTGGTCGATTTGAATTGATTTATGGCCATTTTTGTTGGTGAACTCCCTTTTTTCCGCTGGTGGAAGCCAGTTTTGGCCGTGAGAAGATCTCACAGGTAGTATTATTTGGTATTCTATGGTATGTTCATATTTCACCCCCATGCGCAGGTATTGAATACTATACTATACTCCTTTGTTCGTTTCAGTGGGCTTTTCGCTCGCCAAAAATCTTCCCCTTCGGTGCTGTCAGAGCTGTCAGGTTGTCAGATCGCCTGGCAGCGTTTCGAGGTGCATCTGGATGCGGTGCGTGCACGCACATTGCCGGAGCCATGGCCTTGGATCTGGGTGCTCAATGAGGAAACTTGCCTGCTACTGCAGCTGAGAACGCTAACCCCCCCAAAAAAATATATGGATTTTTGAGGGGAGACATCCGGGAAGTCTTGAAGAGAATCTTTTTGGCCGCGGGGATTTGCGATGCCAGTTTCACTAGGTGACTAGGTCCTAGGTATGGTCCCAAAATATCCCGAGCATTGAGAAATGATCTATCAAACATGGGAGCTTTATCTGTGTTTGTCCAAAAGAACTGAGAAAAGCTCCCAAATTTTTAAAAGATTGTTTTCCTCGTTAAACTGCCTATAAATTGGGACCTCATTTTGGGGAGGAATCATGTTGTTTGTTTTTCCCCAGTGGCAAAGAGTGCGTGGAGAAATAAATTGATTAATTGGGAGGGTTTCATTAGGAAGCGGAGTCAGAGATTCGGACTCCATTTGCTGGGAGATTTGGAAGAACTATGAAGACCTCAAGCTCTGTGGCATCTCCAGGGGGGCCTCAATAGAGTGATGAACACCCAAAAAATACCTTGACGTGCTAAGTCATTGATTTTTTTTAATGCAACCATGCACACTTTTTGTAATCCGATTGAAGGCTAGACCGGTGCACTTTCTGATGTTTATGTTCGCTCAGTGGATCACAAAAAGATAACAAAAAATGCTCTGCAATATACGTTGTAATATAGTTTCCCCGTAAATTTTGACCACTGCAGCAGGGATGCAATGTGCTGTCATGCAACGCATCAAGTCATGTTTTTTGTTGTGAAGGGTATCTGAGGTCAGCAATGGGTTTCACCAGTTGCAAACACCATCAATAACGACAGTGCTTAGAATAAGTGAAATGAAAGTGAAAAGGGGTTGCAAGCTGCCAGGTGAAACTGGGAGCCGGATGCGGGGCTTTGTATTGCCCCAACTATGGGAACCCAATTGTCACTGGTAGCCCCTCCATCCTGATACCCCGGAGGAAGCCTCGATGCTGGTGCGCAACCGCACCAAAGTGCCCTTGAGGGTAGAGCTGCACCGGCCCAAGAGTCAGGTAGGGCCAGTAGGGGTGCTCAAATCACCTTGGATTCACGCTGGGATGGGTTAAAACTCAGAGCATTTAGGGGCCAGAGAACGGCTTTGTTTTTTGTTTGTCATTTGTGCACCTGATTGTGGCCTAGACCCGGATATGACCAACTCACATCAACTCACTTGCATTGGACGCAAGAGTGTGTAACATCTGGGCACCCCCCACCCTGCAACACTGACCGTCAACAGAACTATAATTTTAGTATATTTTAGTACTGCAATCACCATTACAACATGGTGCTCAGACAGGCGACCCATGAATGCGATTGGTCTTTGGAAGCTATAAGAGCGACCCAGAATGAGTTTACCACAGCACCTGTTTTACTGCGTCGTTTCAAAGGGAATGATGAGTGATGTCATGATTACTGACATCCCTGCTTGAGAAATGGTGTCTGTCCTGCATTACTCAATGGTGCTCGCTTAATGATGAGAATCCCACCTGACAGAAACATCCAAAAAGCCTAAAAGTGCCGAGGTCTCGCCCTTGGTGGATGTACCTTTGCTGAAACCCTTGCTGCAGTGGCTTCTGAAGGAAAAGCCTATCCTGGTGGCGGAAGTGAAGCCAGGGATCGAATGGGCCTTGCGTCCCAGGGCCAAGGAGGGTCGTGAGTTCAAGCTTCGATTGATGACCAAGGCTGGGGTGATGGTTTGTGCTCGTGGCTTGCGCAGAGGGCAGGCGCGGTGAGGGATCGTTGGGTTGGGAGATGTTGGGAGTTTCATCGATTTTCTTGAAAGATCTTGAAGGTCTTGAGATGGCAGGGAAATAGTATGGTAAGCTCCCCCCACCTATGGTAAAGCCAAAGTAACCTTCACTTTTGAGGTTGATAATCCGGAAATGGCTGAATTTGGTGCAGTCTCATGTTTTTGGTTTGCAATGTTTGGCCATGTTTTGAGCATCTATCCAGTGGATTACAATGACTTCACAGCAACCTTACCGTGCATTGGTGCATGATCTTTTTTTTTGGAGGGGAGCATCATCCCAAACATGCCTACCTGACCCTGCCTGATCCTGGCTGGTGGTGTCACTCTTTATTTTCAACCATAGACAGCGGGTGATGATCTACGATTTCCAACATGTTTCAGGGGGTGAACCCACTAACCAGATGTTGGCTTTATCCCGGTTATATCCGTGCCACGATTACACTGATTACACCACCATTTTTGTTGCTTAATGTTGGTGATATCCCCATTGTATCCCATTCTGTTCCCATTTATCTTCATCATGTCCCCATTACACCAGCATTTTTTGTTGGTTTAACGCCCCTGAAAACTTCCGGTTGTATCAGACATCCTACGTCCCGTCCCCAGGCTTTCGACTTTGAAGTTCCCATTCCACCAGCACCTGCGCAGCTACGGGTGGCAGCACTCACCCCCACAACCCGAGTGGGTCCCGATGTCGTGACGGTAAAGGGAAGGATTAAGGCCACGGATGACGCCTTCAAAGCACTGGGAAGAAAAGATGATGATCGTGACTTGGGCATTGGAGGAAAAAACCTGAAAAAACATGAAAAAATCCTTCCAGAACTTTTTTTACGACCCATGCGTAAAAGAACGATAAAGGTATAGCGTGATTTCCTCGTCCATGATTTGAGAATATTAATGACCTTTGGCTTCGAAGATTGCTGAAGATTTGTATTTTGTGGGGTCCCAACATCAATGCGGATAGGCCTTGGTCAGCGCAATGCCCCCATTTGCTCTTCTTCGGCAAATTTTATTTTCACTTGTCCAGCATGGTTAAAACATTCGAAACCGGTGAATTCAACAATTCAAACCTCAATTAGGTTTTGGTTCAAGTCCTCAACTTTGGCTGAAACCAGTACTATCCAGTACTATCCAGTACTATCCAGTACTATCCAGTACTATCCAGTACTATCCAGTACTATCCAGTACTTCAATCTATTCTTTTTGGGATTTCCCTTGGCGAAAAATCACCTCTACCGGGGCCGACAATGCCCCCTGGTGCTCCATAGTCGCCATCAGGTGAGGAGCGTGGCTCCATCGCCTCTACCGCTGCCCCGTCGACCGCAGGCACCTCGATCACACGCCTGAGCTTCGCCAGCACCGCATCGGTGGCGTCCACGTCGCGGGCGCAGCTGGAGGCGAAATTGGAGGAACGGCGTCGCAAGGCGCGACGAAAGTGCTTAAACATGTTGAACATTTAAGGGAAACATGGGGAAAGGAGAACAACTGGAGAAAAATGTTGGATTAATTCAGAGACTTCAGGCACGAACAGGTGCAAGACTTGTGCTTTATGGAGGTTTATGTAGTTTATATATGTTTATATTTTGTATGCTGATGCGAAAGTTGGGGGAATATGGATAAACAATGATAAACATGGCTTGGTCTTGTGGGAGTTGAGGGATATTTGAGGTGAAGCCATGATGATTTACATCGTATATATAGTGGTTCTTAGTGTTTTCATGGGATTAATCAAAATGGATCAACTTTTTTCACCCTTAAATTGTCATTTTGATGGGACAGATGAAGATGATCAACCATGAGATATTGGGCGGAAACTTCATAACCTGCCCTTGAAGGTGGAAGGTTTGCCCCCGGTCAAGTCAGATGAAGACAAGGAGGACAAGGAGGACAAGGATTTGGCTGAAGATGTTTATATGTTTTTTCCCCATAATATCCCCATGAGAAGGGTAATTACTGTAATCCACCAAAAACTTGGGAATATAAGTTTTGTGTATTTTTAATTTTCCATTTTTGGGGCTTTAAGATCAGCTAAATGCCCCTCCAGGATGACGGCCAAGTGGCGGATGAGGATGCGGAGAACCCTGGACCTTCGGCTCTTCACCCAGTGCCTGAGGCGGATGCGGGCCACGTTCCCCGGCTGCTGACGGCGGTGGAAGGCTTTCGCTCCTGCCTTTGCCCGAGGTGCTTGCGCAGCATGCCGCTGCGCCGCACACGGCCACGGGCATCCATCTACTCAGGAGGTGTCCGATGCGACTACTGCAAGATTGAGTTGATGGGTGAAGCCGATGAAGAGGAGGACCAACAATCTGTTGGTTTCTGTCATTGCAAAAGCTGTTGGTTTGACCTGTGCCAACAGTGTGCGTACAAGGAGATGAGGGAGGTATGGTGGGGTGAGGACTAGAGCATGAAACCTGAATGTTCTTGCAGCCTGTCCCCAGGCTCTGTTTATGAACAAACGTGATGTAATCAATGATCAATGATGTTTCGCGTTTTTCAGGTTGATGACTCAACGATTGTTGATTGCTTCACTGGAGTTGCGCGTTCAGATGTCATTCTCAGCTTTTTTTTTCACACGATCCGGGGACACGGCCGCAGAACCGGAATTGACAGATCTGATAGTCGAAAGGCGCCGCAAAAAGTGAAACAAGATGAATCAAGCTGCCCAGAACATGTTGGATGGCCAAGGTGCATGGCAGATTCCCTCAATCAATCATATGATATGGTTTTGTTGCCCAAGACACCGAAACATCAGACATTTGAAGAAAGTTGGGATGGAATTCTAGCATCATCCTTCACAACTTTACTGATCTGCATGCCCATGCTTGATCATTGGTGTATTTTTTTGGTTGCATCCCCAGCGATTTCCGAGATTTCTCAAATTTCCATCCCCATCTAGGCCACAAACAGATGCCCAAAGCACGGCCAAAATTCCTTCACCCTCAAGGCTTCAACGGCTATTTTTGTTGGACAATTCCCAGAGACAGAAACCCAATTGCTGCGTGATCCTGACGCCTCCAGTGCTAGGTGATGAAGGTGATGAAGAGCAAGGCCATCATGAAGAGGCGCATCCTAAACCCTCCGGTTTGGGGTTGTACCATACATGGAACATACCCCCCAAACAGATCCAAGTTTACATTTAATGGATCCAACTAGACAACTGGGGCCCCGTTGACAACCCAATTTCTTGATGGATCTATGGGAAATGGTCTCACTCGCAAGCTTTGACTCCGGCGGTCTATGAGTAACATACGAATGCAGGGTGTATATGATTCATGAGGTAAATCAAATGATAGGCCATTCCATGCCATTCCCAATGGTATCCCCCAGTGGTAGACCCCTATTTGGGATGATGTTACATGACCTCCAAATGGTTATTTAATGGGACGGTGGATTCTTGGGTTTACCACATTCCTCCGCTTCAACCATGACTGTGGAGGACCCTCACAAAGGTTTATGGCATATGGAATCATGAGGATACGGATGCATGAGGTGTAACCCATCCAGCAAAACATAGGTTTACCCCAACTGTTTGAACGGGAACTGCAACAACATTTCAGTTTACATCAGGTTTTACAGAAGAGACTTTGCCCTCCCCGGATGGCCAGGACGGAAGCCATGTCACATGGCATCAAGATGAGCCAGGCGCATATTTCTCTGGCATATTCTCAATCATGCACCGGGAAATTCCGTATAAATGGAGGTTTTCCTTGGGAAAATGATCATAATGATCATAATGATCTATAGAAATGAGAAATTTCATGAATTTCCATTGCCACCTTTGATATCTTTGATTACCGGATGATACATTTTCAAGTTTCCACAGTATCTGGATGATTTTGGACCTCAAGTCATGACGAAATTCTATGGTCAGGATATGTCTAAAAACAGGATTGGGGGAATCATCCCCAAAGGGCCGCAAGCCTAAATGGCCGCAAATTTCAACTGTTTTCAGATTATATATATATAGTCTCTCTCTCTATATATATGTATAATGATATTATTATCATTCACCTAGTGCTATCTATTCAATTCTGTATGTATACATACTTCGGCAGATAGATAGGTCGTACTTTTTGAAAGCGCTTTGATTTTTTTTGCTGCACATCATGATGTGTACATATTTCTTGTCATGGCGAAAGGCGGACCGATAGATCTTCAGAAACATACAGGTATAGATCAATAGAATTCAATGTGCAGATTGTTTACGTGGTGGTTCGCCCCAGTTAGGAAGTGGCTTAGTTCACTCTAGTTATAACATGTTATAACAGGACAAACCCTGCTTTCCCTACTTATAAGTGGGTTATGATCCACTTGGAACTCGGGTGAACTAAGCCACGATTTTTAGCCGCTTGAGCGGCGAGGCAAGCGGCAAGATCCAAGCTGCGCCGAGACGGTGTGAGCAGCCGATCTGGGGGGGTTCAATGGCCTGCTGAACATATTTTTTTTGTTTGTCTCAAAATGCTGTACCTGCAAATAGCCATTAATAGCTATTTAAGTAGGGAAAATAAGGTTCTAATTCATTGGAATTGGGGATAGCCTACTTTAATTAATGTGCGTTCATTTTCCAGCAAATGTGGAGATTTCACTGCGGATGTCACCAGGCAATTGTGATTGTACTGTGGGTATAACAAGTATGGAGAAAGCCACTAGCGATAGTGCTGAAGCCATATGCTATAGGTGGGGATTTATAGCAATCAGAGCCAACCAGCTATAGAAATTATATGAAATTATATGAACTTATTGTTTAGAGGTTGTCTACTATAAGACTAGCCGTGGCACATCCATTGAAACATATTGAAACACATTGGCTCGCAAGGTGGCTCACAAGCAACTGACCATGGTTCATAGATCTTCCAGCAACCGTCCAGATGAGGCGATGTACATATTATATACAGTAGTGTATTAGTGCACATGTACTTTAAGATATATTTTCCTGACATTAAAACACATACACACGCGCACGCACACACACACACATATATAATTATATATATAATTATATAGTATATATATACACATACGTGTGTGTGTGCGTGTGTGTGTGTGTTTTGTGAGACCTCCATGTGTTTTATCATTTAGCCACAGGGTGACTCCAGTGACACACAAGGTCGGCCAAAAGCAGCTCACCCTTTCCGGGTTTCCAACGGCCCAGCGCGAGCGAGGCCCGGCTCCTATTTCTGTAGCCTGGGGCAACAAAAAGATATGGAAAATCCATGACATTTGTAGATCGTGGTCCTAAGGAAACCCATTGGTTGTCCACATCTATGTTAGTTGACCCTAGGATATCTATGAACTATGAATATAATTTGAATATATAGGTTTGTTTGAACTTGGCGTTCCCTTCTAAGGGATGTCCATACACCTGAAAAACATAAAAACAAGTGGGATACAGTAAATTCCGGATACACCATTCTTGGACAAGCACATGCTTCAGATGGGCCATGGAGTTAGTTACTTACCTAGTTAGCAGTTAGTAAGTTTGTTAAAGATATGTTCCTAACCCATGGATATCCATGGAACATGGCGCAATCATCGGATCTTAGGTGAAGCAGTTTCACAAGCTCTTGGCCCGGCACTTTGGAGAAAGACGGCCAGGCCATTGGGTGACGGCACGGTGACCGGCACGGGGAGTGATCGAAGTGATTTTTGGATAAATACTACTGAGAATAATAGGTGTTCGCGATTACTATAGCCCATAATAGTGATATCAAAGAATACCAACCAGCATAATAGGATATAATAGGATAAGATACTTAGGGTTATTTTTCATTGCTCCAGTGGGGTCATCATGCCTCAACTTCCCAGATATGCAGGGACACAAGAACCCAAGCAAAACAACGGGCCGCCATGAGCTTTGTGAAGCTTGTTATTTTCCGCTCAGCTTTGTCAGGAAAGGGCAAGAGAAACATTCTGGACACAGTTGTGGGTACCATTCTGTCAGAGGCTCGGTCCAAGTCTGCTTTTTGTCTTGCCACACTGCCTGAACTTAGCTGAATATGCTGGACTTTGCTGAACGAAGTAGCCATTGGGAGCTGTCACACTCGTGCATAGGACGTTTGGATGCTGACTGTCCAACGCTGAATGATGTTGGCACTAGAAAGCAACCATGTTTGAATTATATTCGCTTAATGCAAGGGGAATGTCAATTACCAAGTCTCTTTACCAGATTGGGATGCGCTGCTTGAAGCAGATGAGGTCGCAGAACACAACAAATACCAACTCCCACAGGGCCTTCAGTCAGCTGAAAAAGAGTATCTTAGCAGCACGGTGGGGGTGGTTAACGACCTACGTTCTTGGTCAAGGCGTTGGCAAGGAGAAGATAAATAAGATCATGTATGTATATATGTTTAGACATCCTTTCGATCCCTTTCGTAATTGAACAGGTTGCTACCGTATAGATGGCCCATTTACTTCGATGATCTACTGAATCATTAAATTAAACATGCTGTTTTTTTCTGTAGCAAGTTTTGACATGACCAGAGGACATACATTTCAACATATTGTGACCATTGAATGAGGTTTCCCCACGTGGGACAAAGTTCGCACTGCCCGGCCGGCAGCTGTGCAGAAAGTCATTCGCTGTGGTGGTCTAGCACCAAAGCGCGAAGGGGGGAATGACCTGACAGGAATCGTTGAAGTGAGGTGCTCATGAGGCCTGTTGAGGTTTGACTGATCTGTGAGGATGTGCCACCAGGACCAAGTGCAGGATAAAGTGAACATGTTTATAGGCCACTGCGGACTTTTTTTTATGTTTTCAATGCACCCTCCGGTAGTCAAGCATGGCAAGGGATATTTACTGTATATTTATAGATGATTTTACCATTTAAATGCCCATTTATAAGGAATTTCCCAGCTAGCCATGTTTGATTGCGGGGGGTACTTGTTTTAATAGATTTTAATAGGCCACGCGTTGTTAGAACCAGATGGGGTTGTTTCAAGATATGGAATCCCCATCCAGGGGCTCAAAATTCAAAACCTTCATTCTCATCATCATGTTATCCCATGTTTATTCGCCCTAAAATGGGGTAAAGCATGGGGAAGCTCGGAAACCAAATGAGACAACCCCAAGTAGGATAAGTAGGGCACACTCCAAGCACCTGGTGTTTCTGGGCCAGGAAAACCAAATGGATCCAAGCAATCCTGAAGACGTTGCACAAGGTGCCCTCTTGGGTTGCGGTCCGCATGTTCCACATGTTTCATCCGTCAGAGGAAGGTCCCATTTTTATCCATGTTTCGATTCAGTTCATTTTGTTATATTTTGTTCATATCTCCAACTAGCAGCTTAGCACTTGGTTTATGAACATCCATACCATCCATTTACCGCATTTAGCAACTATTTTTCCCGAGGAGTACTTGGTTTTGACCCATCCCAATGTGTGTCTCCATGCGTCTTGGCATCCCGGAGAGCCGGGACAGCGCAGGAGCGTGGGGAGTCCTCCATGGAGTTCTTGAGAAAGTTGAACAAGGAACAGGTGCACCAGGACTGTTTTTTTCTTCCTCCCTATATTTTGTACCATACTTTTCTCCTCCTCCGCGAGCTGAACATGTGATTTTTGTTTCCACTGTGTATCTAAGATTGGCCATGGGTTGTTGGATGGTCTGTGAATAGAGTCTTGGACCAACGAAAACAGGACGCTTCAACCAATGGTACAAGCTTTGGTGCCGGGATATTTACTTACAGATTCTGCCCGTTCAAGACGTGTCTTGTTGGGAAGCAAACAGAAGGATTGGATTCACGCGCATTTCAGAAACAAAAACCGCCGCGACTAAACCAACAAAAGGGAGGGAAATACCGTGGCCAACCTGGTGGCTTCTACATCTTCACTTCCTTAAACCATCTCACTAAGAACAAAATGCGATTCCACGAGGAATTGGAGCGGTTCCAAGGGGTGGGCAAGAAGACCAGTGTGACTTGCTGAGAGAGTTTCTGAACGGAATTTCTCATGGAAGAGAGATGACAGGCTTCAAAACTGGGGGGTTTGGAAGACACCTTTTTGATACTGATACTGTAAGAAATTAATGGACATTGCATTTTTTTGGGCCATGCCATTTTGGATTTCGGGGGTAGGTGACAACGAGCGAGAAATGTTGAAATTGAGTAACTGGGGAACCTGCATGAATTATTGTGGATGGGTTTTGAACTAGAAAGGATGCAGGCATGAATCTTGCGAAAGTCACAAGAAGACCCACAACGAACGCTGACTTCGCATGTGGGTGGTTTGATGGAGTTGTATGAACATGCAACTCATTCATACCCATTGCCTTCCGGGGTGGGCAAGAATTTCAGCTAGCAAGGGTCCAGTATTTTTTTGAGTTGTTCAACCAGCAACAAGGGACAGAGCATTGGAAGAAAAGACATGAAAAATAACATATACCCTCTGGTAATTTAACATAGCTATTGAAAATGACCATTAATAGTGGATTTTCCCATTAAAAATAGTGATTTTCCATTGCTATGTTAGTTCACCAGAGGGTATAGCAAGGTTACATGTTCCTTGGTAGAACAATCTCCAGATGGATCCAGATGGTGACCTGCCGAGCCCAGGCCATCATCAATTTGTTCGACTAACAATCCCGATATGGCGGTGGCGACTTGGAGTTTTGTCCACCGGCGGCCACGGATGTTTTAGGGCGGATGTGGAAATGGCATATGTCAATCCAATGGCGAACTCATTTGCATTTTATAATGTTCATGTGTAATAGTAATATGTGTATAATATATATATATGATATGTGTGTATGTGTATAATATATATATATATGTGTGTGTATATGATTATATCTATCTATCTATATACGCATGTGCATAGCGATACGTACGAAATGCATCTGTGTCAGCAATCACGACAACAATTATGAGGTATTGGTGGTTTAGTCTATATATATATATATATCCCCGTTCCAATTTCCAGCACAGAATGGGAGACCTTGTGCCCCATATCAGGGCTATTTTCTAGGTAAAAACAAAGTTTCAAAATGGGGTTGGGCCCTGCATTTTGTAGAAACAGTTTGGGAATTGCATTTTAAATAAGATTTCAATGTTTCGGTAGTTGAAAGACCTTTCCAAAGATAAACATCCAATCCTTTCCAATCGTCATTTTGTAGTGACGGAGTGTTCCCTTCAAGCAACCTGATGAATCTGATGATAAAAACCAATCTTCATTTTGTAGTAGTGGAGTGTCCCCTTCAAGTAACTTGATAATAAAAACAAATCTTCATTTTGTAGTGACGGAGTGTTCCCTTTAAGCAACCTGATGATAAAAAAACGATTTTCATTGTGTAGTGGTGGAGTGTCCCCTTTAAGTAACCCTGATGATAAAAACCAATCTTCATTTTATAGCAGTGTCATGTTGTCATTTTCCGTAACCCTCTGGAGGTTGAGAACCATCATTTTATAATGGCTGAGGTTAGGAACAAATGCAATGCCTATATAATAAGGGGTCCCGATCCCATAGCTGAATTTCAAACGGGTATCTATATATATAATATGTATAATTGCATATATATATATACACATATATATATATATAATGTCTAATGTGTCTATGTGTTACAATTGCGTTCTAGTCGCTAGCACTTGCCATATTTTCGTTCAAATTCTACGGAGCTCCCGGTGCTCCGTTCGAGGCCGACAATTTCCACAAAAAAAAACTATCCGCATGTGTTTTATTGCACTTATTATAGCACTTATTATAGAATATTTGACATTGAAGATATCAATAAAAACATCACTTCTTGAAGTGTGGCATTTGCAATCATGGCAATGTGATTTTGGAAACACTACGTTACATTAGAATTTGGAAAGATACATGGAAACCACCAGCCGTTGGTGGCATTTGAAGACAAATTGAACTTGAAGGTACAGCAGCATGGACATTTCGACAGAGCACAACAGCATAGGGAAACAAGAGCAAGATGTCCATGTGCGTCGAATGGATTCATCGAACTTTGGAATATTCCAACTGCTAATGTTATCAGAATATTCTAAGTGGGCGTGCGTACTATTCTAACTGCATTGGTTTCAAATCTGGATTCTTCTATTTGCTAGAAGGTTATTATATATATAATATATATATATAATTTATTATATGAGTATTATGTTGATGATTACTTCTTTCATTTGAAGAAAAACCTACAGATCCTTATAGATCCTTCATAACATCGTCCGGCCTCAGGACACCCACGTCTTTCGCTACGCCCAGCAGTTGGGCTGGGCACCTTCCGAAGAGCTACGTGCCAGGCACAACAAGGCGATGCCATGGACCCATGGACCAGGTCGCCATGGTTAGGATGCCAGGGGTCATTTGGGGATCCCCAGTCGTCACCATGGGTTTATATATATATATATACACATATGGTTTTATAGAGATAATGTTGGGATAATCATGGGTTCGTCAAGTTACCAGTTACCATGGGTGAACCATGGGTTAACCATGGGTTAACCATGGGTTAACCTATACGAAGTCATGGTCATCCGAGTCATGCATGACTTACTGCACATGCACCAACATGGATCTGGCTTTACCAATTGGAGTGGGTTCCATACATTAGGTGCTGGTTTCCCTTTTGTCATGGGGCCATGGGGGTACCCCCTTCATCCAGCAATTACCCACAAAACATTGGGTGATTTTCAGGGATCGGTTTCAAATGACAATAAGTGGAGCACCAGGACTCTGAATTCTTCTGGGACTTCATGCAGTTGGCACGGAATAGTGGCAACCTCATTGGGCCTCATTTGATGGAGGAAGCCATCCAAGAAAATATCCAAACATTGTCAAACAATGAAGTTTGCCCAGCCCCAACAAAAATCCATCAAGTCCAGTGTGGTTTATACATGTTTATACCACATTTTACCACTCAGATTCAGCGCACCAGGGATCTGGTACCGCATGGCCAGCCATCACTCGTGACACGGTCTATTCACATTTGGATGCCAACTTTCCCGAGTCTCGGCACGCCAAATCCATTCATTGATCACCATTTCCACATTAAAAATGCAATGGTTATTGAACATGTCTATGTTATTTCTTGTTTGGTATCCTCCATTTTCAGGCACAGCCATTTGTTGGTATTATATATATATACACAGGATGGGCTCCCCAGTTTTAAGTTTGTTTATAAACCATTAGAACTCCCGTTAAGTATATATATAGTTATATCTACCATAAACCATAGTTGAGCCACTGATAAGGCAACTTAGCTATCTTGGGGGCCCCATCCTGCATGTATATGTACATATATATATACATAGTTGGAATTGGAACTGTTGCAGTTGTGAGGGTCCTCCTGTTCACCTATTCCTCAGATGGCAGCAGCTAAGTGGTTTGAAGTACCACAACCTCACCACGACTGGATGCGGAGATGTTCGCTTGTCCCATGATGTTTTGGTGAAACAACCTCAGATTTACAGATTACATGGGTTAGATTTACATGCCATATAATATACAGTAGATATATAGTCAGATCCGTTAATGCACTTAATGATTTCTTCAGCTGAACGTCTTATACTCACATATAGACGCATAGTACTGTACGCATGGGTTCATTTGGATTCCGGCGAAGGGTCCGCAGTGTTGTACTTGCGCAAATCTGTCAAGAATGGCTGACAATTCCTGCGTAGCCAGGACAATCTCAAGTACTCCATGCATCTCATTTTGACAGACACAGAGGGTGGTTTACCGGTGGTTTGCGGTGCTCGCAGTCACTTGGGCTTTGACAAGCGTGGTGTCACTGTTGATGGCAAACCATTGAAGGATGTGGTGAAGGAACATGAACTCTGACGGACAAGAGATCAGGATGTTACCTTGTGGTCTCTGATGGGTTGAGAGCCTACACAAGGATGCTTGAAGTCTACAATTCCATTGATCCATTCACTCTTGTTTGTTCAATTTTCACGCTGCCACATTCATGGTGCTTAGCTCAGCTGAGCGCAGTGGGGCAATGTGCGCTGCAGTCCGGTTTTTCTGGTGGAATCTTCCAGGTTCAACCTGGCATCCGTCCGGTGCCCTGATTTAAGTCGTAGCCTTTCTGGTGTTGCCGTTGCCGGTACTTGCTGGCGCAAAAAAAAAAAAACAAAACGAGGGTGCTGAGACCTTGTAGCTCCCAAGGGAAGGGCAATTGGTCCCTTTGCAAAGCAAGATGAATGATGGCAATATGTGTAATTAGGATGGACCCTTATAAGAAATGTAATCATAGAAAACTGCCATAGGATGAGATTGCAGAAAGGTACATACACGTTGCATTCTTGACAGATTTCAGATTTTGGCAAACAATTTGAGAGAATGATGGAATTTCGAGCCCCAATCTGTTGCAGCGGGCAACTTCGGCATTTTTTGGAATATCACTGGATAGATATAGACCATTTTCATACTGTCGGTGACAATACCTCCATACCTACCTTTTGCTTTTCGTGCCCTTGGTGATGATGGGATTCCCTGCAGCCAGAACGGCACTGGGCCTGCACCGTTGCACCGTCCTTGCTGCTCAAAGCCCATCATATGCGATGCGGCAGTTTCACCATGGCCGGCACGGAGACATTGAGGCCTGTCGATTCGATATGATGTTATGACTTGGTTGATATAAGGGAACATGTAGCGTTGCTATTGCCATCCTTAAATATGGATGTTGGCATATGTTTGCCCTACATCTATGTTTGTGTTCAAACAATTCAGGGATCCAGGTTTTTTCTTTCTGCTCCTGAGCTAGGCTAGATAAAAAAAAGCATCAACTCTTGGCTCCTGTGCAAACTGCCAAGAACATTTATATAATTTATTGATATTTATTATCCATGTGTGAAGATACAACCATACCCCCAGAAACCCTGGTGGAACATGCTGGCACATATTCATTTGATCCCGGTTGGTCTGATTTCTGATGGGTGAATTTGGTGAGTTACTTCATTTGGGGATGGGATTGGTCTGAGAGAAAGCAAGTTGATGCGCAGCAAATGAAAGGGTTTGGGGATCATTGGGGATCAAACTCAGCAGTAAACCCATTTTTGGAGATTTAATGTGTGGTTGTTAAATGTTATTATTGCCTATAGAACCACCAAACCAGGCGGTTCCACTTGTCAACACCATACCAGGCCGCTCCCTGAGGTACAAAGATGAACTGGATCAAGTCAAAGACCGTCGGGGTCCTCCACGAGAACTACACAGGGGGGATATCAGTTGTGCATAGACTTGCCTATGTGATTTATCATATGTAAGATGTGTATCTGTGTAAAGGCATGTGCACTTACGGCACACAGACAGGCAGACGGACAGACAGACAGACAGACAGGCAGGCAGGCAGGCAGGCAGGCAAACAGACATACATGCATATACACTGGTATACACCTATATGTATACATAGGGGCCAAACATGTGGTATAGTTCGATTTTGTTTGAAATTGTGTTTCCTTCTACTCCAGTCTTGTTGGCATCCTGCTGCCCACCAAAAACCGCACATTTCTGAACACGCAAAAAACTGTTCGCTCTTCATATGTTCTATGAAGGTTTCTGAATAAGGAGTTCCAACATATTCCAATATTCCATTTTTGTTTAATGCATGAAAGAGTCCCAATCTTTCTTTGTGGCATCGCACCTAGGCATTGGTGGCCTCTTGCAACAGCTGGAGTCAGAGGAGGACACTTTCCAACTGACTACAGAGGCCCAAGGTAGGTTACGAGTTGGAAATTTGCAACCTTAACATCACCCTAACCATCCATATACATACATACATACATACATGCATGCATACATGCATACATACATACATACATACATACATACATACATACATACATACCCACATACATACATACATACATACATACATACATACATACATACATACATACATACATACATACATACATACATACATACATACATACATAGACATAGACACATAGACACATAGACACATAGACACATAGACACATAGACACATAGACACATAGACACATAGACACATAGACACATAGACACATAGACACATAGACACATAGACACATAGACACATAGACATAGACACATAGACACATACATACATACATACATACATACATACATACATACATACATACATACATACGGCAAATGCCTGGGGTTTGCCCGGACCCGCAATGACGACAGGCGACGCATCATCATCATCATCATCATCATCATCATCATGATCATCATCATCATCAGCATCAGCATCAGCATCATCATCATCATCATCATCATCATCAGAATTAAACGGGGGTGGGAGAATTAAACCCTTATTGAAGATCTCCAATGAATGTAGAAGTTTAACGAAGGGTGGAAAATTAAACCCTTATTGAAGATCTTCAACGAATGTAAAGTTTAACTGGGGTGGGAGTTTAATATGACCTAGTACCTTTGTTGATCTTCCCAATTGAATGTAAAGTTTAGCGGGGTTGGGGGTTTAATATTCCCTAGTACCTTTGTTGTTTTTCCTATAGGAATTTAAGGTTTAACGGGGGTGTGAGTTTAATATTCCCTAGTACCTTTGTTGTTTTTCTAATAGGAATTTAAGGTTTAACGGGGGTGGGAGTTTAATACTCCCTAGTACCTTTGTTGGTTTTCCCATAGGAATTTAAGGTTTAACGGGGGTGGGAGTTTAATATTCCATAGTACCTTCGTTGTTTTTCCCATAGGATTTTTTTGAAGTTGCATCAACATTTGTTTGGGAATGGGAAACCTCCAGGCGTTGCGCGTATATATACATATTATATAATTTATATATTAGATTTCACGAAGGTAGCGTCAGCTACCTGAGTTCTCCGTGCTTCAGCACAATCATAGGGGTATTGGGGGGCCAGCCCGTGGAAAACGTAGAATTCTCGACATTATGTATTAGATATCAATTATAAGGGGGGGGCTAAAATGGTCATGGGTTCAATTCCAACGGGTGACGCGTATAGTCCAGCATAATTGGTTTGCTTCAGCCTCAATAACAGTTGCTGCAAGGGGTCTTAAAAAGGGGTTTTAAATAAACCCCTTTTCGTGCATCATTTCACACTGCACAAGACACCGTATCATGCAGTCATGCTCTGGATAAAATCATCTTAGACTGCGCAAAAACGTTTTTGGTGTATCATCTTAGGGGCGCAGCATTTTGACACCACTCCTCTCCCACTACACTACCTTTCGTCCGCCTCCGCCTGCTCTCAAGTTGAGTATGCCCTCTATGACTTCGGTGGTATCCCCAACAAATGCAACATTTTATTTTTACTAATATTTCTGAAGCGTGTTGTGAAGGCAAGCGCTGGAAACACCTCAGCTGGGTTTCCGTGAATGAAATGGCCGCAAATCCTGTTGAACCTGACCTGGCTCTGCACCAAAGCCTCCCCGACCTTCTCTGGAACCTTCTCCGAAACCTTTTCCAGAACCCTTTTGAACCTGACCTGGCTCTGCACCAAAGCCGCCCGGAACCTTCTTAGGAACCTTCTCCGGAACCCTGTTGAACCTATAACCTGGCTCTGCACCAAAGCCTCCCACGCCTTCTCCGGCACCTTCTCCGGAACCCTGTTGAACTTGACCTGGCTCTGCACCAAAGCCTCCCAGACCTTCTCCGGAACCCTGTTGAACCTGACCTGGCTCTGCACCAAAGCCGGAACCTTCTCCGGAACCTTCTCTGGACCCTGTTGAACCCTTGTCTGGAACCCTGTTGAACCTGACCTGGCTCTGCGCCAAAGTCTCCCAGACCTCCTCCAAAACCTTCTCCGGAACCCTGTTGAACTTGACCTGGCTCTGCACCAAAGCCTCCCAGACCTTCTCTGGAACCTTCTCTGAAACCTTCTCCAGAACCCTGCTGAACCTGACCTGGCTCTGCACCAAAGCCTCCGGAATGTCCGGAACCTTACCTCGTTGAACTTGACCCCGCGCCTGCACCAGTGAACACCGGAGCTATTCTGGGCTGAAGACCCCAAAAGCTTACGCTGTTCAGGAAAAACACCATAAAATTAACCTATAGATTCAAGATGCAACCCAACAGTTGGGCTCTATCCTGCACTGAAATCGTTTTCGTTTTTTTTTAAGCCTAGATCTTCGATTGGGAATGTAAATGATGCATGACAACGCCAAGTTGGAATCCAACAAATCAGGTTTGGATTTGCTGCTATAAATTTGCCAGATGCAGCATCTTTGCTCGTCAAGGGTTCATGGTGCAAGGTGTCAGGTATAGCACCTGCTCTGCAGACGCACATGTAACATGTAATTGCAAGATCAGTACTGGAAGGCTAGACTGCAACATGAATGCCCAGGATCCTCGCGCAAAGCAACGCCTCCAGAAAAAGGTGACCCGAAGAGTAGCACCCTCAAGATCAGTCAAGGCAAGGAGCAGGAGCATCTTATCACAGCAAGCCTTTACTTTGCTTAGGTGAGTATGGGGCCATGGATTGAGATGGATTTTGTAATAGTAACACTGTATTGCGCATTCAACTGACACAATGCATCAGATTACTGTTGTACCAATTTTTCTTGAACCTGGAAATTCTCCATGTTTGAGTTTGAAAGGTTCTCCCATTATTGGAGGACAACACCAAGATCTCACCAGAGATGACGATTAGCAAGGGAACCACCTCAAAATGCCCTTTTTGAATCTGATTGGAGATGCTCGATTTGGGGACCATGTAGGTTTGTCCAGAAAGGAGACACCCAAAATATCAACCATGAGACGGGTTACTAAATTTTCAGCGAAACCAAACCCTGTCAGAACTGATGATAGATGACAAACATCAACGACAATTGGAAAAGAGGAACCTCACCCGCCCATTAATTGCAATGTAAAATGGAGATGGAAATCGTCCATCTGTGCTGTTCCCAAGATTGGGGGGTGCCCGAAATCCATGATTTCCAATACGAAAAGAAAAGAGTCTAATTTTGGATGGTTGGGCGGCCTGACAGCTATGCGGGAAATATACAAATATCATCACATATCATCAAATATCATGTGTGCTGAATCTGATGAAATAACATGAAATAACAATCTTTTTGGGGAGACCCCGTCCTACGGCCCCAATCTTCCAGCCTCTCCAAGGTGAGTCGCGTGGTAAACCTCGAGCCAGTGGAAGCTGAAACTCAACCACCCGAGACCTTTCACGCGCGGATCGCAGCTGATTTCTGGGGAAGTCGGGGTTCATGCCTGAGGTGGTTAAAGATGTTTTATTTTGAAGCTCCTCAGATTCCCACATCCTACAAGATCCTCATGTATTCCACACTCTCTGATAGCACCCCACGACAGCAAAAAGTTCAGCAATCTTCTGAAATGCACCTCAATAATTAATCCTCAATATCCGTTCATATTCCCCGCATAACACCCCACATCAATCCAAGATACCACGTGAAATCATTGTGGTTAAAAGTTTAAAAGTCGTTGCTGTATCTCCCATCAGATTTTCAGAGAATGGCCCCATCAGATTCCACAATACCCATGAAATCCCGTAATATTCCCGACAGTACTTGGGAGTGCAGTTGGGGTTCTTGAATGCCATAGCCATGGTTATATTAAATTCCTATAAGTTTGTAATAGTTTGTATATAACTCCTATTTTAACCCCAATAACTATGGTATACTGTGGTTATATAATGTTATATATATATATTCACATAGTGTGTATATATATATGGTATATAGTATATATATATATACCCTATATATATATATTATATTATAACTGGAACTGCGGCCCCACAATACCCAAGGGACCAACGTTTGGAAACTGAGGATGTGCGTGAAAAGTTAGACGACCTTTTGGGGCAACTGCACCTCGAAGAGCGGCAACATGTGCTCTCCCAGGCGCGTCGCTGAAGAAGGGGTGGTTAGCCAAGAAATGTGGTTATTTCGTCAACAAAAATGTGGTACAAATGGATTTAAAATGATGATATAATTTTGATAAAATTGGAAAATGGTGGTAAACTGGGATATAACGGAAATGTGATAGGGAATAATCGGATAGAATAGGGAAATGGAGATGAATTTATGGCAATGCAGTTGGGGAAATAGCGATTTTAATGGGTTGACTGGTGTTGGATGAGATTTAACAATCAACAATGGGAATCATGCGATATAATGAATTTATCCATCAGAAATGGAGATTCAACGTGATTCAACCAACTAAAATGGGGACTTACTGTGAGCAACTTAAATAAAGGTATCATGTGATATGATTGTGGAATATTCACTGGATGTAATGGGAACGTAATGGGGGTGTAATGGGATATATCTAGATGAAAGAATAATGACCTCACTGCGACGTCACTGAACTGATGGTTTCCAGTGGGATAACTGTCCAAAACCAGCTGAAGTCAGCAGAATTATTGCATTTTTCCAGATAAAGGTTATACAAACAGCTACCGTAAACAGCAATGGCACTATGTAAATTGTGGGGCAGCAACGACAAGATTCACCACAGCCACTTCTGAATTGGGTGGAAAACAATGGAAAACATGGCAGAGCCTACTGGAAAACAACAAGGTATAACCTACCAAATATTATCCAAAGATGTCGGCATAACAATCATCATGAGATAAACCATGCTTTTTTTCTCAGAGTCCTCCCCCCAGTTAGAAGTTGCTCTATAACCCCCATTGATTAGTGCCATATTTTTTTTCAATAGAAACAATTGCATTCTACCATAAATCAAAGTTGTTTGGGTACCACCTTGAGCCCATGGGTGACCGACTTGGCCGGTCAGCCGGGCTCAGCTGCGCTGCGAGATGCTGCAGGTCGTCGAGTGGTTCGTGGGTCACACACCTGCAGCCCAGAAGGACATTGCAGTCCTGGAGAGGGCCGACAAAGAGTGCCTAAGGCGATTGCTGGGCCCCAGGAACCACCCTTTTCTGATGGAACATGGTTGTTCTTGGGCTATGAAGATGTATTATCGAAGGAAGTTTAGAAGTCAAACTTCCGACAATATGGACAGATGCAAAAGCAGTGGGAATAGTCAGAGAGGAGAAGAGCAGAAGAGAGAAGATCAGAGAAGAGAAAGCGTGAGAAGAAAGAAGCAGAAGGGCGGTACCAGGGGGGTTTTGACCGGTGACCGGGCAACCGGGCTGACCGGCCCGGTTGACCGGGCCCGGTTGGCCGACCGGCCAACCGGCTGACCGGCCAACCGCCGACCGACCGGCCAACCGGCTGACCGACCGGCCAACCGGGCGGCCGGCTGACCGGCCGGCCGACCAACCGGCCCGGTTGGCCGACCGGCCGACCGGCTGACCGGCCAACCGCCGACCGACCGGCCAACCGGCTGGCCGGCCGGCCAACCGGTTGACCGACCGGCTGGCCGGCTGACCGGCCAGTAGTAGTAGTAGTAGTAGTAGTAGTAGTAGTAGTAGTAGTAGTAGTAGTAGTAGTAGTAGTAGTAGTAGTAGTAGTAGTAGTACTAGTCGTAGTAGTATAGTTGTTGTAGCAGTAGTAGTAGTAGCTAGTCGTAGTAGTAGTAGTAGTACTAGTCGTAGTAGTCGCCGTCGTAGTAGTGGCAGCCCAAACACATATCCAAGAAAAAAGCAAAAGCAGAAAAAGCATGAGGAGGAAGAGAAGAAATTACACGCAAACACCCTTAAACAAAAAAGTAATATGTCAATAACTTTTAGATCAGGATTTGAGAAAAACATAGTTTCCCAAACGGACCAGTTTTTGACAACTTTCTTTACTAAAAAAGGCAATTTGAAGTTCAAAGAAGGGTCCCCTCCACAAATTGCCGAATTTAACTTGTGCGGCAGTCATTGTATTGACACGTGTATGATGTTCATCCTTATTTCTATGTCCTGGTTTCTGCAGCTAATATTTGATGGCAGCCCAAACGCACATCCAAGAAAAAAGCAAAAGCATGAAAAGCAGAGAAGGGCGGAGCCGGGCACTCTCCAACCGTGAACCGTGGAACTCAACCGTGGAAACCGTGAAACCGTGGAGCTCGAACCGTGGCCCACGTTTCCACGGTTCAACCGTGGAACCGTGGAACCCGAACCGTGACACACGGTTCCACGGTTCAACCGTGGAACCGTGGAGCCCGAACCGCGGCGTACGGTTCCACGGTTGAACCGTGGCGGACGGGCGTACGGTTCCACGGTTCAACTGTGAAACCGTGGAGCCCGAACCGTGGAGCCCAAACCGTGGCCCACGGTTGCACGGTTCAATTGTGAAACCGTGGAGCCCGAACCGTGGCACACGGTTCCACGGTTCAAGTAGTAGTAGTAGTAGTAGTAGTAGTAGTAGTAGTAGTAGTAGTAGTAGTAGTAGTAGTACTAGTACGAGTACCAGTACCAGTACCAGTACCAGTACCAGTACCAGTACCAGTAGCAGTACCAGTACCAGTAGTAGTAGTAGTAGTAGTGGTAGTGGTAGTGGTAGTGGTAGTGGTAGTGGTAGTGGTAGTGGTAGTGGTAGTGGTAGTGGTAGTGGTGGTAGTGGTGGTAGTGGTAGTGGTGGTAGTAGTAGTAGTAGTAGTAGCAGTAGTACTAGTAGTGCTAGTAGTACTAGTAGTACTAGTGGTACTAGTGCTAGTACTAGTACTAGTGCTAGTACTAGTGCTAGTACTACTTGTTGTAGTAGGAGTCGCAGTAGTAGTACTAGTACTAGTAGTAGTACGGGCAACCGGAACGGGCAACCGGGCCACGGTCAGCCGGCCAACCGGGCAACCGGAACGGGCAACTGGAACGGGCAAACTACAACTAACACTACACTACACTGCACTGCACTTTCACTACAACTACAACTACATTACTGTTACAACCACAACTACATCTACAACATTCTACAGCTACAACGGCAAGCACAACTACAACTACATTACATTAGAACTAACTACACTGCGCTGCCTCCAACCACTTGTCGGTCCATCAGTTGGCTCGCTCTGCCATCTATCCTTCACAGCAACCAACCTCTCCAAAAGGTTCCTATCTTTAAATTTCCGTCATCGTCTTGTGCGGTAGTACTGGTCGTATAGTCGTCTATATCGGACTTTCTTTGGTAGAGTACATAGTTGTATATATAGTCGTATACATAGTCGTATATAGACAACTCGGATGAAGTCTAGAAACCTTTGTTTTCTCATCCTCTTTCCTGCCAGAAACCGATGACACAAAGATATTCCAGAAATGACGTGGCAGGACGACGTGCCATACACACACATATATATATATATGTAATTATATATATATATTATATATATATATTATACATATATTTATATATGTATATATACCTAGAGACTCCTGGAGTCTTTTGCTTGGTCCTTTTTGAAAAGGACGTTTTTTTGTCTTTGCTGCAGAAAGGTGCTGGTTCTCGCCGCAGTGTTTTTTTCGAAGTTGCTGCATAGTTGTGTTTTCGCAGCGCTGTCCATGGATTTTTGTTGCGACGGGTCTGCGCTAACGCTGTCTGTCAGCTCCTCTGTGCTCTCAGAACTCTTGGGAAAGTGCCTTGGTTGCGACGGGTACCCACGCAATACACAAGATATGAATGCCATGGTCATAACTTTTGCACACCATGCTTGTGTGCTGCGTACTCATACAAGTCTGTGTGTTGTTTGATCCTTGGCTTTTACCTGTTTGGATCTACCTTCTTCGATTTAGGATTCTTGCTTTGGTGAACCACACCTGTGTCTGGAAAGTACTCGTAACTTCTTATGCTAGGTTTGGCCACAGATAGGGGGCTTTCTGTTTCTTTCGCTCTCGCCATCAAGGGTTGTGGTTGAGGAGGCATGTCATTGGTTTATGGTTTTGTCTTCATTGTGTTTGCCGTTGCATTCACACGCTTCGTCCTGCTGAGGCGCATTCTTCCTGATTCATCTCGTGGACGGTGCCTGGTTTCCGACGGGTTTGCAATTGACATGTATTCACTTGTTCGTGTCTCTTTTGGTAGACCTGTAGGTCTTGCTGCAAATGGGTGAAGCTGTTCTGTCAGATGTCGCCCTCAAAGAAATGGGTTCCATTAAACATACCGTCGCGGTCTTGTTGCGCTATTTTTTTTTGGACCTGGTGTGATCACGATTCAGACCCCGGACCCGAGAACCCACTCCAGCTTCATCTCTATTAACTGTATTCGGTCTCTCCTTCTCACACGTCTTGTTTGTGGGACTTAACTGTGATCTTTCCCATTTCCAAGCATGTCGCTCTGCGAGGCCATTGCCGCAGGATGACTGCAAGAAGGGGACGACATCGCGAAGCCTTGTTTCAAAAGGGTGCTTTGGATTGTGTGTGAGATCAGAAGTAACGGTTTCATGTGTACCTGATTGTTGTCAATATTTTCGTTCTGGAAGATAGTCTTCTGATTTCTTTTTTGGCTTTTCTCAGTTTATGTGGCCTGTTGCCATGACCGGAAACGTTGGACTTATTTCTCCACCTGCCAGGTGAGGGTTACTAGATTTTACCATGGCTGCGCGGGGGGGACGGAGGGGGGGTGGAAAACCTCCCGCTGCCTCCCATCTGCCAGCTCAAGATCCCAGTGGGCACTGCCAGACCTCAACGGCGAGCTCCCGATCCCAGTGAGAAACGCCGGGCTCAACCGCGAGCTCCTGATCCCAATGGGCAACGCCGGACCTCAATAGCGAGGTCCGGATCCCAGTGGGCACTGCCGGACCTCAACGGCGAGCTCCAGATCCCAGTGGGCAACGCCGGACCACAACGGCGAGCTCCAGATCCCAGTGGGCAACGCCGGACCACAACCGCGAGCTCCAGATCCCAGTGGGCACTGCCGGACCTCAACAGCGAGCTCCCGATCCCAGTCAACAACGCCGGACCTCAACCGCGAGCTCTCGATCTCAGTGGGCACTACCCGGCCTGAACGGCGAGCTCCACATCCCAGTCGGCACTGCCGGATCTCAAGGCCAGATAGAATGTCAGATAGAATGTCAGATAGAATGCAAGATAGAATGCAAGATAGAATGCCAGATAGAATGCCAGAAAGAATGCCAGAAAGAATGCCAGATAGAATTCCAAATAGAATGTCAGATAGAATGCCAGATAGATTTCCAGATAGAATACCAGATAGTATGCCAGAAAGAATGCCAGATAGAATGCCAGATAGAATGTCAGATAGAATGCCAGAAAGAATGCCAGATAGAATGGCAGAAAGAATGTCAGAAAGAATGCCAGATAGAATGCCAGACTGCATGCCAGATAGAATGCCAGATAGAATGCCAGATAGAATGTCAGATAGAATGCCAGAAAGAACGCCAGATAGAATGCCAGAAAGCATGTCAGATAGAATGTCAGAACATATGTCAGATAGAATGGCAGAGCATATGTCAGAGAAAATGCCAGATAGAATGCCAAGAGGAAGAGGAGGAGAGGGCAACTCTCATGAAATCTAGAGACCGAAGGTCTCTAGATTTCATCAGAGTTGTCCTCTCCTCCTCTTCCCTGCCAGAAAGTTTTGCCAGAAAGAATGTCAAAATCTGTATGACATTCATGGTGGGGATCACTCGAAGAAAGGTCACCAATGATGAATCTTCGATTTAGGATTCTTGCTTTGGTGAACCACACCTGTGTCTGGAAAGTACTCGTAACTTCTTATGCTAGGTTTGGCCACAGATAGGGTGCTTTCTGTTTCTTTCGCTCTCGCCATCAAGGGTTGTGGTTGAGGAGGCATGTCATTGGTTTATGGTTTTGTCTTCATTGTGTTTGCCGTTGCATTCACACGCTTCGTCCTGCTGAGGCGCATTCTTCCTGATTCATCTCGTGGACGGTGCCTGGTTTCCGACGGGTTTGCAATTGACATGTATTCACTTGTTCGTGTCTCTTTTGGTAGACCTGTAGGTCTTGCTGCAAATGGGTGAAGCTGTTCTGTCAGATGTCGCCCTCAAAGAAATGGGTTCCATTAAACATACCGTCGCGGTCTTGTTGCGCTATTTTTTTTTGGACCTGGTGTGATCACGATTCAGACCCCGGACCCGAGAACCCACTCCAGCTTCATCTCTATTAACTGTATTCGGTCTCTCCTTCTCACACGTCTTGTTTGTGGGACTTAACTGTGATCTTTCCCATTTCCAAGCATATCGCTCTGCGAGGCCATTGCCGCAGGATGACTGCAAGAAGGGGACGACATCGCGAAGCCTTGTTTCAAAAGGGTGCTTTGGATTGTGTGTGAGATCAGAAGTAACGGTTTCATGTGTACCTGATTGTTGTCAATATTTTCGTTCTGGAAGATAGTCTTCTGATTTCTTTTTTGGCTTTTCTCAGTTTATGTGGCCTGTTGCCATGACCGGAAACGTTGGACTTATTTCTCCACCTGCCAGGTGAGGGTTACTAGATTTTACCATGGCTGCGCGGGGGGGACGGAGGGGGGTGGGCACTGCCGGACCTCAACGGCGAGCTCCAGATCCCAGTGGGCAACGCCGGACCACAACGGCGAGCTCCAGATCCCAGTGGGCAACGCCGGACCTCAACCGCGAGCTCCAGATCCCAGTGGGCACTGCCGGACCTCAACAGCGAGCTCCCGATCCCAGTCAACAACGCCGGACCTCAACCGCGAGCTCTCGATCTCAGTGGGCACTACCCGGCCTGAACGGCGAGCTCCACATCCCAGTCGGCACTGCCGGATCTCAAGGCCAGATAGAATGTCAGATAGAATGTCAGATAGAATGCAAGATAGAATGCAAGATAGAATGCCAGATAGAATGCCAGAAAGAATGCCAGAAAGAATGCCAGATAGAATTCCAAATAGAATGTCAGATAGAATGCCAGATAGATTTCCAGATAGAATACCAGATAGTATGCCAGAAAGAATGCCAGATAGAATGCCAGATAGAATGTCAGATAGAATGCCAGAAAGAATGCCAGATCCTGATGCGTGTCTTTCTTTCTTGCTTTCTTTCTTTCTTTCAATAAAAACCATAGATTTTTTTTCTAGCGTTCATTGCGTTAATTGAATTGGTTGCGACTCGGCGTTCCCAGCATGGGCTGCGCATAATCTTGCTGTCTGCCTTTCTGTCTGTCACTTATCTTTTCCTTGCTTTCCTTGTTTGATGCAGGTTTAACAATCGCTATGACAAGGCGTGGAATCAGAAGCTCGGTCGAAACTTCACGACCCCCATCCCACAGTTCAGCACGGACGGATGTGTGATTTACTGATGCTGTTCCATCTTAACACAATCTTTACAGATTTTCTCGTTGGCACAACCTTTGAATGTTTGCCCGCTTGAAGTGACATGTCTTGATGGACTTTGCTTTCTCATCTTTTCCTGGTGCTGCATTGCCCTGTGTTTCTCGCTCCTCCACTGTTTCTATCCCTCTCTCTTTCTCTGTTACTTTCCGTTTCCTTCTATGTCTCCCTTTCCCGAGGTTGGATCGCAATCGCGTCAAGAAATCCGTTAAGTGCAGGGATTTCTCCAGAGGAGACTGCCGAAGAGGAAGTCGCTGCCGCTTTGTGCACGCGACGGCAAAGGACATTGGGTTCATGGATGAAATTTGCTTTTCGACAATGAAGCACAGCTACTACACTGATTTGTATGACCCCCGAAGAAGTCGAGAGGACGCTTCAAGGAGAAAGTTGTGGACGACCAGGTTTGGGGAATCCAAGCCACATTTCTCAAGTAAGGATCTACATTCTGCTGCTTTGCCTTTGAAACTTGAAAACGCAAAAGCATTAGATAGATTTCCATTCCTTTGAATCAACCTTCACTTTCCTTTCTTTTTAGTTTCGAGAAAATCTAAGAAGACATACGGATATATATTAATATCGCTTTCGTTCTTACTTCTTTTCCTTAATAATAATTAGGAAGAGATGCTTTCATTTCCCTTTGCTTTCACTTTGGTTTCTTGTCCTGCCTTTCAGCTTGTGGCAGTGAAACCAAGCACATTGCTCCAGGAAGATCCTCGCTCTCTTGAGCAGCCCGCATTGGATCGCCGCACGTCACTCGCAAAATTTGGGACATGTCGGAAGCATGGACAGTATGGATACGAGCGAGCATTAATTTGGGAATCGGCCTTATCGTGTCTGATGCCACTGGCATCGTCCTATCATCAACCTAACCGTTACACGGCGACCTTTCTCTGCCCTTCCTATATCTTTCATTTCCTGCATGCCATTATTTCGTCTCTAAGGATTCTCCGTGATGAAGAGTCGGAAAATGAAACTATTTTGGAAGAGCCAGTGCCAGAAACTGTTCGCCGTGTGCTTTAGCTGCAGTGAAGTCAGTATTGCCGACAGTTTGTCTGGATGTGCCATCAAACGATGCAAACATTTGAGCATCACAACTTACTGCTGGAATGCGTACGCTGTTTGTAACAAATTTCCAGATGAAGAAACTAGAGAGGACACATGTGGAGCAGGGTTGCAGCTTTCCATTGTTTCCCAGGTTCAGAAGCATGTGCCGCCTGATGATTTGCGCTCAGAAGCTGATTGTCCCCTGGCCGCGTGTAATGAGCCGAGCTGCCATTCGATTCAGCAGTCTCAGAGTTTCAGCCGCCGGATTTATCCACAAACTCGTGTGTGTTTTGTTTTGACAATGTCCAGACCGTATACAAATTTCGGTGTAAAAGTTTGCTGTCTGCAAAAGCCGTGCTTTCGCCTGAGATAGTGACTAGCTACTACATCTGAATCTCCTCTGAGTGCATCGCTTCACGCCGTTGCTTCAGCCGCATGGGGTCGCAGATGTTTTTTGCCAGGTCATTTTGTTCGCCAATGTTTCGTATTTGATCATAGTCGTATATATGTATATGTGTATATATATATATACAAATTTCAGTTTATTTACTGCATATCATCGCGACAGTATAGGTTATTTCTAAATGATCTTGAAAGGTCACCTTTTCTTCTCTACATTTTTTGTTCAAACATCAACGTCACATCCGCTGGGATCGGCCATAAGTTGCAGAACCGTTGGTACTTGGTATAGTCCAGCAGTTGGAAGCCACTTCAATCTTGACGGGATGGGGTACACCTTGTAATGTCCCGCTCATTGGAATGGCAACCTTTTCAGGATCCCATGAACAATTTCTTTTTGGAATGATGCAATTCTTCAACATGCCATCATTTCTGTGACGGAGTGGTCGACCTGACACCTTGGAATCAATCGCAGCACGCATCTTAGGAAGTGCATGCTGGCCTCGCTAAGCGAGGTTCGGCAGCTCTTCTCGCTGGGTGTGTCCTGTCAGGAACATGTTGAGAAGATGGGTTCACTTCAGCCATCAGCTTCACCGCCTTCGTAGAATTGCCAGATGGTATTTAATTTGAAGTTTGCAGGTGAACGCCTGATATCCATATTTTGTGGCTCTCTGGGTACAATTTGTTGACTTCCATCCAAGGGTTTAAACCTTAAACTGTTTTGTTCGGAATCCTTCAACCAAATATTTGATTACCGGGAGATCACTATTTTGCAAGTTTTGGCAAAACCCTTGAAGTCTTTACTTCAAACCATCCTATAAAGATAAGTGAACCGTATTTTTGGCTTGCTCACAGCCCATTTCGCCACTAGTCTTGGGTTGCCATTGCCCCCATCCTGCAAGTCATCGAGGAACCCGTCGGGCGCTATTTGGAGTACAAACAGACGCTTCAATGAGGTGAACAGGGTCAGCCAATCAACTGAACGGTGATTGGTAGGTAGGTCAATGGGTGTTTTTGTCCGTGTTTTTGTCCCAACGGTATATAGAATCTACACACTGACCATCACAATATGTATATACCTGACAACTGTTTTGCGGGGTATCCCAGGCTTCTCTACGCAGTATGGAAGGAAACAGGGAGTGTACCATAGACTAACCTATTGCGGGAAGAAAGCTAGAAAGTAAACGAGCAATGGCAGTTTGATGTGGCAATGTTGGATCCTCATGTTCAATGACCAATTGTCCACTCCTATTATTGTTGGCTTAAGAAAAAAGATAGTACCTAGGAAACCACCATTTTGTTGGTGACAAATCGAAGGTTTCCTGCAGTCCCATGATGGTGGGTGATTGGCATACTGGTTGAAAGGTTCTGATAGCTTAAGGTAAATGTCCAGCAGCATTGGAAGAAAACCATGGAAACTATCCAGCTACATGCTGATTGGCTTGCAGCATAGCTAAGGTTGGAACATGTGGGTGTGGTCCTTTGTATGTTGCTGCACCCCGAGTTCTTAAAACTCATGGACACCAAGTCTGTATCAAAGTGATTCAAAATGGTTGTTCTTCGCATGAAAACGTTACGTTTGAGTTCCACGCTTGGTCTACCTGACTGTCAGTTGACCTTCAGAAATTAATGAAACTGCTGAAATTGTGGGGTAAATAGCAATTCAAAAAAAGGCATGGTTTCCCTTTGATTTTCCGTCAAACTACTCCATTGGGCTGGCTGGTTTGCTTTGGGATCACAACTCGCTTTGCGGCGTTCGGAGCGATTTTTCGGATAATTCGTTCGCATCAGAAAGATCCATATTGATTTGGATCGACAGATCAAAATGGTGAATCATGTTAGGATGCTAATCCATATTCATTTGGATGAATCACGGATCCATACTAGGATGTCCGCAAATCAGATGCAGCAACCAACCCCTTCTGTGCCGCGGTGCGCCACGCGCAGGTCGGCTGATTCTGATACCTTGCGCAGAAAGACATTGGTTTCTTCCATAAATGGAAAACCTTTTGTCTGAGGTGTTTGGGTCAAACTCTTTGGACACCGAAAAATTGAAGAACCAATATGGACGTTTTCCTAAGTCATGGGGGTACCCCAAATAATCATATGTAAATGTATACATCAGTCAATAGACCTTACTATTGAAACCCATGGTGACTTGGGATGCCATACCACCCGCACAACATTGACCCTGAAAACCGCTCATCTCAAGCAGACAGTTGTCTTACTCCAAAGTCCTGGCAGAGTCTGTGTTCATTGGAGGGACGGTGTGAATTTTCATCTCTTATTCTGTATATCTTGATGTGGAGGTTTCCTAAAATAAGGGTACCCCTAAATCATCCATGTATAGATGGGCTTTCCCTTATAAGCGATCCATTTTTGGGTACCTCCATTTTTGGAACCCCCCATATATTTCAAGCGTTGGATTGAATTTCGGAGATCCAAAATTCAGACCTACACCTCGATTTTGTGATGCCAGAAGTTGCACCAATACGTGACAACTTCGGAGCGATTTTTTGGATAATTCGTTCGCATCAGAAAGATCCATATTGCTTTGGATCAATACAGATCAAAATGGTGAATCATGTTAGGATGCTAATCCAATCTAATCCATATTCATTTGGATGAACCACGGATCCATACTAGGATGTCCGCAAATCAGATGCAGCAACCAACCCCTTCTGTGCCGCGGTGCGCCACGCGCAAGTCGGCTGATTCTGATACCTTGCGCAGAAAGACATTGGTTTCTTCCATAAATGGAAAGCCTTTTGTCTGAGGTGTTTGGGTCAAACTCTTTGGACACCGAAAAATTGAAGAACCAATATGGACGTTTTCCTAAGTCATGAGGGTACCCCAAATAATCATATGTAAATGTATACATCAGTCAATAGACCTTACTATTGAAACCCATGGTGACTTGAGAAGCCGAGAAGCCACAAGGCAAGCCGAGAAGCCAACAAGCCGAGAAGCCGAGAAGCCAACAAGCCGAGAAGCCGAGAAGCCGACAAGCCGAGAAGCCGAGAAGCCGAGAAGCCGAGAAGCCACAAGGCAAGCCGAGAAGCCAACAAGCCGAGAAGCCGAGAAGCCACCGGACAAGCCGAGAAGCCGAGAAGGGATCAAATCCGCCACCCCGTCTGAACAATACGTTGACTGGGATTTTAACTTCAAAAGCTTGTCTTAGTAAGAAATCAAATGCGCCAACCCCTCTGTCCAATAAGTTGCATAGGTTTTTAACTTCACAACTTTTCTTCCTAAGGGATCAAACCCGCCACCCCCTCTGACCAAGACGTGGGATGGGATAGTAACTTCAACTGATCTTCAAAAGGGATCAAATCCGCCACCCAGTCTGACCAATACGTTGAATGGGATATTGGCTTCACAAGTTTTCTTTTTAAGGGATCAAATCCGCAACCCCTTCTGACCAATACGTTGACTGGGATATCAACTTCACAACTTCTCTTAGGGTCTCAAATTCGCCACCCCCTCTGACCAATACGTTGCATGGGATATCAACTTCAACTGATTT